TAGATAGATAGATAGATAGATAGATAGATAGGCTGACACAAAGAGCTAGACAAATAGAGGAATAGATAAATAGAGAAATAGATAGATAGACACAGAGAGATAGACAAATAGGGGGATAGATAGATAGATAGATAGATAGTCACAGAGAGATAGGCAAATAGAGAAATAGATAGAGAAATAGACAGACAGACAGACAGACAGACAGACAGATAGATAGATAGATAGATAGATAGATAGGCTGACACAGAGAGCTAGACAAATAGAGAAATAGATAAATAGACACAGAGAGATAGACAAATAGAGGAATAGATAGATAAATAGATAAAGAGATAGACAGAGAGATATATAGAGAAATAGACAGGCAGACACAGATAAATAGAGAAATAGATAGATAGATAGATAGATAGATAGATAGATAGACAGACAGACATAGAGAGATAGAGAAATAGATAAATAGATAAATAGACACAGATAGACAAATAGAGAAATAGATAAAGAGATAGATAGATAGATCTATCTGTACTATTTTAATCTGTAATGATGTTGCACTTTTTTGTTTTGTATATTATTGTATTTGCATATATGTTGTAAACCGACCTGAGTCCCTCGTTTGAGGTGAGAAGGCCGGTATATAAAACTTCTAAATAATAAATAGATAGAGAGAGAGAGAGAGAGAGAGATAGATGGGCAGATGCATAGAGATAATAGAGAAATAGATAGATAGATACAGAGAGATAGACAAATAGAGAAATAGATAAAGAGATAAATAGGTAGATAGATAAATAGAGAGAGAGACATAGAGATAGACAAATAGATAAATAGATGGATAAATAGAGAAATAGAGAAATAAAGAGATAGTAGATAGACACAGAGAGATAGAGAAATAGAGAAATAGAGAAATAGATAAAGAGATAGATAGAGAAATAGATAGATAGATAGATAGATAGATAGATAGATAGATAGATAGATAGATAGAGAGACAGGCAGACACAGAGAAATAGAGAAATTATCTATCTATTTATCTTATCGATCTATAGAGAAAATGATAGATAAATAAAGGTGTAAATACTAGGTAAATGGATAGACAGAGGGAGATTAGGAGAAATAGACAAATTATCTATTTCTCATCAACCAATAGAGAAAAAGATAGAGAAATGGATAAAGATTCATATAGATAAATAGACTAACAAAGAGATAAATTATCTATTTCTCATCAATCAATAGATACCTATAGATAGATAGATAGATAGATAGATAGATAGATAGATAGATAGATAGATAGATAGACAGAGAGATAAATTATCAATTTCTCTATTAATCTACTTCTATAGATAGATAAATAGATGAAGAAATATAGGTATAGATAGATAAATAGATAATTTCTCTATCAATCTTTCTATAAAGACAGAGAAATGGATAGATACATGCATATAGATAATTGAAATAGAGATATAAAGATAGATCGATCCATGCATAGAGAAATAGATAAATAAACAGAGAGAGAGGGAGTCTGAATGAATGAATGAATGAATGAATGTGTTGTCGAAGGCTTTCATGGCTGGAATCACTGGGTGGCTGTGAGTTTTCTGGGCTGTCTGGCCATATTCCAGAAGCATTCTCTCCTGACGTTTTGCCTGCATCTAGGGCAGGCATCCCCAGAGGTTGTGAGGTCTGTTGGAAACTAGGCAAATGGAGTTTCTCCCGCTCTGGACATCATTCCACAGATATATAAATCCAATTTCCTAGTTTCCAAAGATAGAACAGTGTTGGTTCCATGTGTGTGAACCAGGGAGGATCCCGACCCTTGACACCTCTCTTGTTTTCTCTGCAGGGCCAACCAACTGATGATGCCTCCAGCTTCTGTGAAAGTCTAAGTCTGGGTGAGTAACACCAAGGGGTTGGGGGTCCACATCCTATTCCTCTGGGTTGCAATCGAGAGAGGGATGGATGGATGGATGGATGGATAGATAGATAAGTGGATGGATGGATGGATGGATGGATGGATGGATGGATGGATGATAGATAGATAGATAGATAGATAGATAGATAGATAGATAGAGGGAGGTAGATGATGGGATGGATGGATGGATGATAGATAGTTAGATAGATAATAGATGATTGGATGGATAATAGGTAGGTAGGTAGGTAGATGATTGGATGGATGATAGATAGAGATGATGGGATGGATGGGTGGGTGGAGGGAGGGAGGGATGGATAGAGGGATGGGATGGATGGATGGATAGATAGATGAGATAGGTGGATGGATGGAGGGAGGGAGGGATGGAGGGATGTATGGAGGGATGGAATGAGGGATACAGGGATGGATGAATGGATAGAGGGATAGATAGATAGATGGAGGGAGGGAGGGAGAGAGAGAGAGATAGATAGATAGATAGATAGATGAGATAGGTGGGTGGGTGGATGGATGGATGGATGGATGGAGGGGTAAAGGGATGGATGAATGGATAGAGGGATGGATTGATGGATAGATAGATGAGATAGGTGGGTGGGTGGGGGGAGGGAGGGAGGGAGAGAGAGAGAGAGAGAGAGAGAGAGAGAGAGAGATAGATAGATAGATAGATAGATAGATAGATAGATAGATAGATGATGGATAGAGATATAGAGATTAGATAGATAGATAGATAGATAGATAGATAGATAGATAGATAGATAGATAGATAGATAGAGAGATAGAGGAGATAGATAGAGATAGGTGGATGGATGGATGGATGGATAGAAGATAGATAGATAGATAGATAGATAGATAGATAGATAGATAGATAGATAGATAGAGGGATGGATGGAAGATAGATAGATAGATAGATAGATAGATAGATAGATAGATAGATAGATAGATAGATAGATAGATAGACAGACAGACAGACAGATAGATAGAGGAGATAGAGATAGGTGGATGGATGAATGGATGGATGGATGGAAGATGATAGAGAAGATAACTAGATAGCTGGATAGATGAGAAAGGCAGATGAATGGATGGATGGATGGATGGATGGATAGATGAGATAGATGAGATAGGTGGATGGATGGATAAATGGATGGATAGATGGATAGATAGATGAGATAGGTGGATGGATGGATGGATGGATGGATGAATGGACGGATGTAAATGCATTATATGAAATCATAATATAATAATACTAATAATATATAATATAAGTAATATATCATATTATAACACTAATCTGAATAATATATAAGATAATAATATATAAGATAATAATAAAAATAATGCATATATATTTTATAACACTAATCCTAATAATATATAATATAATAATACTAATAATATATAATATAATTTATATAATCTATATTATAACACTAATCCTAATAATATATAATATAGTAATATAATAATACTAATAATATGTAATATAATAGTAAACATTATATATAATATAATGTATATAATCTATAATATTATAACACTAATCCTAATAATATATAATATAGTAATATAATAATACTAATAATATGTAATATAATAGTAAAAATAATATACAATATAATGTATGGATTAATGATTTAGGAAATTGACGATTTACAATGGAATTGGACAATGCTTGACAATCAGGAGACGCCAATGATGTTGTTTTTATTGCTGTTGTGGTTTATGTAATTGTAATGTTTTTAAATTGTTCTATGATACTGTGTATATTGTTTTGTTGGAAACTGCCTTGAGTCGCCGATAGGCTGAGAAAGGCGGTATACAAATACAACAAATAAATAAATAAGTATACAATCTATAATATTATAATACTAATCCTAATAATATACAATATATTATATAACACTAATCCTAATAATATATAATATAGTAATATAATAATACTAATATGTAATATAATAGTAAAATAATATATAATATAATGTATATAATCTATAATATTATAACACTAATCCTAATAATATATAATATATTATATAACACTAATCGTAATAATATATAATATAGTAATATATTAATATTAATAATATGCAATATAATAGTAAAAATAATATATAATATAATGTATATAATCTATAATATTATAACACTAATCCTAATAATATATAATATAGTAATATAATAATACTAATAATATGCAATATAATAGTAAAAATAATATATAACATAATGTATATAATCTATAATATTATAACACCAATCCTAATAATATATAATATAAGATTCCTCTCCCTTCTTGTTGGTTCAGCCCCCTTAACTAGGAGTCATTTGCAAGCCGGATGTTTGCAACTCAGGGATGGCGTGTACATTCATTGAGAAATAATTGCACCAGTCACGCCATCACGCTCCTTTCCAGTAAGAAAGGCCCAAGCTCCTTCTGCAAAGGCCCAATTCATGCGCCCAGAAGGGACAAAGCAACACTTTTTGTGCCGACACCAGAGGCTTGCGTTGTCCCAGCCCTACAGTTGGCTTGCAGTCTTTGGTTTGGGCCACCGTTGCCAGACTGTTAAGCCTATGTTTCCCTAAGCTTAGACCCTGACAGCTCTCCTTTGTTTCCTTTCCCCACAGCTGACATCTCCGGCGATGAAGGAAACCTTTTGTGAGCGGCCAAGAAACCCCCAAACAAGCACCCGGAGCAAGGAGAGCTCTCCCTCGCCACTGGGAAAGACCGCCGGGAGACCTCTTCCTAGACACAACGAGCCTCTATGGCTTCCATGGCACCGAGTGCTGTGACGGCAGCCTCGAAAGCAGTGCTCCCCTTCGCCCCAAAGAGAAACACTTGAGACAGCAGGGCACACGACGGGACTTTGGGCCAATGGGGTGGATCTCGAACCCTTTTGACAATGGTCTTTACCTCCAGCCAAAACTTTAGAAGGAACGCTTGCAAAATCCTAGATGACAACGATATTATTATTATTATTTTGCCTCCATTTGCAGAAGTCCAAAAAGACTAAACTGGGCAGAGATACATCTCATGTATATTTTGGTGAATGATCTTGGGGTTAGTATGGGGAGACATAGCGATGGGATAAGCATATGCCTCTCTAGATGCAAGTTCTTGCATATGTATGTGTGTGTGTGTGTGTGTGTGTATATATATATATATATAGAGAGAGAGACTGTATGTTTATGTATATGTGTATGTATGTGTATGTAATATATATTTATATATGCCCCTCAAAACAAAATTCTGGCTCTCTCTATATATTTAGACAGAGAGAATGTATGTATGTATGTATATATATATACATATATACATATACATATATATATACACACACACACACACACACATATACATATACATATATATATACATACATATATATATATACATATACACCTCTTGAAACAAAATTCTGTCTTGTTCTCTCTATATATACATACTTATATATATATACATATATATTGTATATAATATATAATTTAATGTATACACAATGTATATTATATATATTTAATAATATATTGTATATATAATATACACATGATGTATATGTAATATAAACAATATATATTATATAATATATATATATATATGGTATATATAATATATACATAATGTATGTTATATATAATATAAACCTATATATAATACTGTAAATATATATAATATATGGTGTATATATAATATATACATAATGTATGTATATCATATAGGTTTATATATCATATTGTAAATATATATAATATATGATATATATTATATATACATAATGTATGTATATCATATAGGTTTATATTATGGTTTGATGATTTTTGACAACGTTTTTAATTAAGAGATACTTATGATTTATGTTTTTGATGGATTTTGTGAAGATGTTATATTATATGTTAATGTTTTTTAAATGTTTTACGCTGTTGTTGGCATAAATTATTGCCTTTGTTAACCACCCTAGTTGCCTGCGGGCTGAGAGGGGCGGTATATAAATATAGTAAATAAACAAATAATGTATATTATACATAATATAAACCTATATATATTATATTATATATAATATGTTGTATATGTAATATATATACACATAATGTATATTATACATAATATAAACCTATATATCATATATAATATATATATTATATATACATAATGTATATCATACATAATATAAACCTATATATCATATATAATATATAGTATATATATTATATATATACATAATGTATATCATATATAATATAAACCTATATATCATATATTATATTATATATTATATAATATATAAACATAATATACATTATATATATATATATATCCAAAATTTTGTTTTGAGAGGCATATAAGAACTGGGTGGAGATAACAATATCTTCCGAAACATATCTCCCTCTACTTCCCTCGCTTTCTCCCCACCACCCAAGATATAGGAGATATATATATATATATATATATATATATATATATATATATATATATATATATGGTCCATATATATATATATGGTCCATATCTTGCATTGAGAGGCTTCTGCTTCTCCCATGAGCTATGTCTCCTAATGTTAATCCTAAGACCTTATTTTGTAAGTATGGGAGCCCAACTGGCCATTTTTTTGTGTCGTCTTGAGAACAAGCAGATCGGCGAGGAGACACCCACATATTGAAAAATAGTGAGATAATTATCGCCATCATCTCTGTTTCCCCCTGCTTTATGATGAGATAATTGTGATTGACTCCATGGCTTACAAGCTGGAATAATAATAATAATAACAACAACAACAACAACAACATGAGTCCACAGCAAACAAGATCACTCTGTTGGCTGTTGTATTGGATCACACGTTGGACACTTCCCAAGTGCGTAGGACTGTGTGATGTATCGGCGAATCATGCGTGTAGATCCCAGTAGCGTGACCTTTTACAGCAGACAGGTGGTAATTTTGTCCAATGATACTGGAGAATTGCAAAAGCCGTAAACCTTGGATTGAATACAAAAAAGCATTTGATTCACTGCCACACTGTTGGATCATCAAATGTCTAGATGTCATCGGGGTTTGTGAAAATTTCAGAAATTATTGTTGTTATTATTATTAGAGGTGCTTTTTGCCATTGTATTGTTGGAACAGTATTGTAACCTCTGCAGCAACCCGCCAGTGAGTTTGCATCGAAACGGGGTGTATCCTGCTTGCGTCGTCTTCATCCGCCCACAGGTCCAAGGCTGCTTGGTTATTATTTTCTTTTATTTTTGCACTATCGGTTCTCCGCTGGGACTACCTCAAACTCGCCACTGGGTTTGAACCGAACGCTTTCCCTTTTCCGATTGGGAAGGCCATTTCAAGCTCTCTTGAAGGGCAGCGCACTCCACCTCGGCACCAAAACGAAAGGCATGGCTCTCTCTGGAGAAGAAGGCGGACGGTGGAGACGTCTTTAGGCTTTTGAAGGCATATCGCTGAGTCTCGGAGGCTTGTGAGAACATCCGAGGACAGCCGGACAATCCCTCGAACGCTTTCCTGGACTCCGGGCCTTTTCCAAAGTGCCTTTTCCAAAGCTATGGCAAGCCTGGAGCCGGCTCCGAGGGGCCAAGAAGTGTCCGCGATTCCTTCCCTTTCGCCTTCCTCTTCCTCCAAAACTTTTCAATCCATGCATTGCCTTCTTTCGGCAACGGAGCGTGTTTCGACTGCACCAAACTCTGGGAGAGAGGATCCAAAAGAGAGAGCAAAGTCTTGGAGGGGGATCAAATTTCGCCAGGAGAGAAAACACTAGGATGACCAAGGGTTGTGTCGATTTATCTACCTACCTATTTCTTCATCCATCCATCCATCTATCTATCTGTATCTCTCTATCTCTTTATCTCTGTGTATCTTTTCATCTATCAATCAATGAATCTAAAGTCTATTATTGATCTCCATGTATTTATGTGTCCTTGTGTATCTATCTCTTCGTCTATCCATCCATCCATTTCATCTATCCCTCTTTGTCTCTCTCTCCTTCTTCATCTATCTCTATTTGTCTATCTCTTCATCCATCTATCTCTTTATCTCTTTGTCTATCAATCTCCCTCTTCATCCATCTGTCTTCCAATCTATCTCTTCATCCATCTATCTCTTTGTCTATCTCCCTCTTCATCTATCTCCCTCTCTCTTCATCTGTCTATGTGTGTATCTAAATCTCTTCATCCATCCATCTCTTCATCTATCTAGTCTATCTATCTATCTATCTATCTATCTATCTATCTCATCTCTCTTTGTCTCTCTCCCTCTTCATCTATTTCTTCATCTATCTCTGTTCGTCTTTGTCTCTCTTCATCTATCAATCTGTCTCTTAATATATCCATCTCTCTCTCTCCATCTATCTATATGTATTTGTGTTTAAGTATGTGCGTATTTATATCTCTCTTCATCTATCCATCTATTGATCTCCATCTATCTGTCTATCTCTTGGTCTATCTCCATGTATTTGTGTGTCTATGTGTGTATCTAACTCTTAATCTATCCATCCATCTCTTCATCTCTCCATCTTTATCTATATATCTATCTCTTCTTCTATCTGTCTCTATCTGTTTTCTTCTAGCTTTATATCTGTCTATCTCTATCTCTCCATACATCCATCTCTCCATGTCTATCCATCCATCTATCTCTTCATTTATCTATCAACCAACCAACCAATCTATCAACCAATCTGTCTCTTCATCTATCTCTCTCTCTTCATCCATCCATCCCTTTGTCTGTCTGTCTGTCCGTCTCCCTCCATCTATCCATCCATCCATCCGTGTATCCATCCCTCATCTATCTATCTATCTATCTATCTATCTATCTATCTATCTATCTATGTCTTCTTCTAGCTTTGTATCTCTCTATCTCTCCATCCATCCATCCATCTCTCCATATGTCTGTCTATCCATCCATCTATCTCTTCTTCTTTCTATCGATCAACCAACCAATCTCTTCATCTGTCTTTCTATCTCTCTTCATCCATCCATCTCTTTGTCCGTCTGTCCGTCCCTCCCTCCCTCCCTCCATCTATCTATCTATCCGTCTATCCATCTCTCTTTCTATCTATCCATCCATCCATCCCTCTATCTATCTGTCTATTTATCTGCTGCACCCCCTTCTGAATCGAAGGGTCTCTCTGCATCCGAACGCAACCCCGTTGACCCCTCTGGCTGGGGGAGGCCATCCCCATGCGCTCCCCCCTCAGCAGCAGCCTCTGTGTGTGTGTTGTGGCCTGAACTTCCGGGCGAGAGATGCGCACCGCCTTGCGTATGGAGGGCGGCGTTGGGGGCGGAAGTGTGGTGTACATTTTTGTTCTTTTTTCTTGTTATACAAGGCAGGACTGATTTTTCTGATTTTCTTTCAGAAGCAACGACAAAACTTAAAAAAAAAAAAAAAGACTACCGACAACTTATTTTATTTTTCAAGAGTAAGGACGATGGACCTCAAAAGAAAAAAATAAAGTCAAATATCTATAAATATAAATATATATATACATGGTTAAGTAAATGAGAAATAAAGAGAAGTATTTAAACTCGTTGGTTCTGTTTTGGCTTCTTCCGTACTCGCTTTTCCTACCTGTGTTGGCGCCGCGTGGCGGAGGCTTTGAAGCACGGCTCTCGTGTGGTGCCGACAGCATTTCCTGCAGCGAGAACAGCGGAGGGTCCTGCGGGAGATCGTTAGGATGCCGTTCCAAACATGACGATCCTGTGCCGTGCCTGGTTTGAATCCGAGTCGCAACCCCAGGGACACTCAGAATTATAATTTAGCAAGAAGACGGGTTAATTGAACCGGAAAGTCTTACCTCTGAGAAGACCTCTCTAGGAGTGAGCACGCAGCGGGGAACATGCCAAAAGAGTGACGTTCCATCATACGCAGCACCCAACTCGGTGACATCAGAGGATCACTTCACCTAAAGCCATCCATCCCAGCGACATCAGAGAATCACTTCACCTTGCAACGTCCATCCCAGTGACATCAGAGGGTCACTTCACTTTGCAAAGTCCATCCCAGTGACATCAAAAGATCAACTTCACTGAGCAACACCCAACTCAGTGACATCAGAAGAACACTTCATCTAGAGACATCCATCCCAGTGACGTCAGAGGATCGCTTCACCTAGCAACGTCCGTCCCAGTGACGTCAGAGGATCACTTCACCTAGCAACATCCCATCCCAGTGATGCCAGAGGATGACTTCACCTAGCAACATCCATCCCAGTGACATCAGAGGATCACTTCACCTAGCAACACCCAACCCAGTGACAGCAGAGGATCACTTCAGCTAGATATCCATCCAGGTGACATCATAGGATCACTTCACCTAGCAACATCCATCCCGGTGACGTCAGAGGATGACTTCACCTAGCAACGTCCATCACAGTGATATTAAAGGGTCACTTCACCTAGCAACACCCAATCCAGTGAAGTCAGAGGATCACTTCACCTAGCAACCTCCGTCCCAGTGACATCAGAAGATCAACTCCACTGAGCGACACCCGACTCACTGACATCAGAGGATCACTTCACCTAGAGACATCCGCCCCAGTGACATCGTAGGATCACTTCACCTAGCAACATCCAACCCAGTGATATCAGAGGATCACTTCACCTAGCAACGTCCATCACAGTGACATTAAAGGGTCACTCCACCAAGCAGCATTCATCACAGTGACATCAGAAGGTCACTTCACATTGCAACGTCCATCACAGTGATATTAAAGGGTCACTTCACCTAGCAACACCCAATCCAGTGAAGTCAGAGGATCACTTCACCTAGCAACATCCGTCCCAGCAACATCAGGGAATCACTTCACCTAGCAACATCCAACCCAGTGACATCAGAGGATCACTTCACCTAGCAACACCCAACCCAGTGACATCAGAGGATCACTTCACCTAGCAACACCCAACCCAGTGACAGCAGAGGATCACTTCACCTAGCAACACCCAACCCAGTGACAGCAGAGGATCACTTCAGCTAGATATCCATCCAGGTGACATCATAGGATCACTTCACCTAGCAACATCCGTCCCAGTGACATCAAAGGATCACTTCACCTAGCATCATCCACACCAGTGACATCAGAGGGTCACTTCACCTAGCATCATCCATCCCAGTGACATCACAGATGGTCACTTCACCTAAAAATAGTACAGACGCACGTATATATATGCATGTATGTATACACACACATTCACACAGAGATATATCGCAATATTAAAAGCATATTTTATCTTTAAAACCATACAAGAAAAATAAATTTAAAAAAAAAGAAACATGGAAAACAATGCGAAAAATCGACGACGCGTGGATCGCTCTTGCTGTAAAATGTACACAGAAGGGGGGGCTGCGTTAGTGAAGTTTCTGTATCCACGCCCGAAGCTCAAACCGGGCCCTTCCTTGCCGGTGGCGTCCCTGCTTTCTTCCCTTTCTTCTTCTTGAGCCTCCTCTTCTTTTCCAGGATGTTGCCCCGACCGGCCTTGTTCTCTTTGGACTCGGAGGGAGACTTCTTGGCCGGGGGAGCCCGGTCGGGTCCATCGCCTTCTCCTCCTCCTCCTCCTCCTCGGTTCTTCTTCCTCTTCTTTTTCCCCGCCACGGCCTCCTTGCTCCCGCTCTCGGCGCCTTCCTCCCAGGACGGGACCGGCGCAGCCTTCTTGCGGTTCTTGCGGAACTTTGTGGCCGGAAGGAAGCCCTTCTTCTTCTGCTTCTTCGGGGCCGGATCAGGGTCAACCGCCGGCTTCGGTGGGGCTTTCTCTTTTGCCGGACGCCTGCAAAGGGAAAGCAGAAAGGCACTGGTGAAAATCCCTATACTATACGTGTGTGTGTGGGTGTATGGCCACTGTCCACCTGCTTTCTCCCTTCTCCAGCTCTGAGGAAGCCTGCCTCACAATGTCTCCATGGCCAAACTGTGTTGCCCTCATACACCACTCAGAACACCACTCCGAAACAGGGCAACTCGATCTCAATATTTTTGTGATATTTTTGTGAATATTTTCATGATTATTTTTGTAAATTTATTTCATTGTCAATAGTATTTACAAAATAATCATGAATTTATTCACCAAAGAAATTTCACAAAAATATTCACGAAAATATTCACAAAACATATTCACAAAAATAATCATGAAACTATTCACAAAAATATTCACACAAATAATCATGAAAATATTCGCAAAAGTAATGAATTAATTCACAAAATTATCATGAAAATATTCGGAAAAATATTCAGAAAAATATTCACAAAATCTTGAACCTATTCACAAAAATAATCATGAAAATATTCAGAAAAATATTCTCACAAATAATCATGAAACTATTCACAAAAGTAATTAATTCAAAAAAGTTATCACAAAATAATCATGAAAATATTCAGAAAAATATTCACACAAATAATCATGAAACTATTCATAAAAATAATCAATTAATTCACAAAAATAATCACAAAATATTCATGAAAATATTTATGAAAATATTTATGAAAATATTCACAAATATATTCACACAAATAATCATGAAACTATTCACGAAAATATTCACACAAATAATAAACTATTCACAAAAATAATCACAAAATATTCATGAAAATATTCACAAATATATTCACCAAAATATTCATAAAAATATTCACAAAACATTCACAAAAACAATCATGAACTTATTTAAAAATAATCATGAAAATATTCACAAAAATTATTCACACAAATAATCATGAAACTATTCACAAAAGTAATGAATTAATTCACAAAAATAATCATGAAACTATACACAAAAATATTTGCATAAAATATATTTACAAAATAATCAAATAATATTCACAAAAATAATAATGAAAACATTCAGAAAATTATTTCCATAAAATATATGTACAAAAATATTCGCTAAACATTCAGAAAAATAATCATGAAAATATTCACAAAAATATTCATGCAAATAGTCATGAAACTATTCACAAAAGTAATGAATTAATTCACAAAAATAATCATGAAAGTATTCACAAAAATATTTGCACAAAATATATTCACAAAAATATTTACATAAAATATATACACAAAAATAATCATAAAAATTCACAAAAACAATCGAACTATGTTCATAAAAATATCGGCAAATATATTACAAAAACAATCTCGAAAACATTCACAAAATAATCATGAAACAATTTACAAAAGTAATGAAATAAATTCACAAAAATAATGAAAATATTTACAAAAATATTCACAAAAACATACACAAAAATATTCAAAAAATACTCACAAAAATTATGATGAAACTTTTCATTAAAATATTCGATATAGCTTTTGTTGCAGCTAGATTACCAAGAGTGAGATCTTGGAAGGGGGAGGACACTTACGCAAAGCCCAGGAGCTTCATGACGTGCCAGTAGAGGTCGGTGAGCCGGGCGGACTTCCCAAAGCCGGGCTGCTCCCCCAGGACACGCAAAACGGCCGGCAGCTCGGTCAGGTCCACAGCAGGGCCCTGAGAAAGGGACCCCCAAAAGGAAAGGGTCTGTTAGACACCCTACAAGTCCACTCTGAGCGAGGTTTATTCAAAAGGAGTTGGCCATTCTTTGGGGTCGAGAGAGTGTGACTTGCCCAACGTCAGACCCTTCCCAAGTGTCTAGGATTGTGTGCTGTATTGACGCATAATGCGTACAGATCTGAGTAGGGCGGCCTTTTGCAGCTGACAGGTGATAATTTTGTCAGCGCCGATTGTTTTTAAGTGCAGGCCAAGGTCTTGAGGCACTGCGCCCAGTGTGCCCATCACCACTGGGACTACCTTGACTGGCTTGTGCCAGTGTCTTCTTCTTCTTCTTCTTCTTCTTCTTCTTATTATTATTATTGAGATAAATTACCTGTTTAGTGGCCATTTTGATGAGGCAACTCAATAGCTCCAGGCACCGGATGACCTTTTCTTGGTCCACCTTGATCTTGAACTCGCCCACGGCCTTCAAAGTCTATGACAAATGGAAAAAGAGAACTGACCATCGATTCCTTATCATTCGTTATCAATATCACCCTCATGGCAATGACTACCATACTTCTTCAAGCCTAAGTTAGGCCTGCAAGTCTCCAGAATCTAGGATTCTGAGATTACTATGTCTAACAGAGACTGGGTGGCCATCTGTCGGGAGGGATCGAATGGTGTCATTCTCCATAGCAGAAGGAAGCTCGGCCTCTCATTGAACATCGAGTAAACCAAAGTGCTCTTCCAGCATAAGGCACCAGCCAATCCATCTGCAATGCTAGAAATACAGCCACCTCTCCACAACAGTGACACTGAAATACAACACTGCCTGAGCTCTGCGAGTGCAGCATTCTTCCGAATGAAGCAGAGAGTGTTTGAGGACCGGGACATCCGTAGAAAGACCAAGGGGCTTGTTAATAAAGCGATTGTCCTCCCAAACCTGGCAGCCACCTCCCCACAAAAGTCAATATTGACACTGAAATACAACACCACCCGAGCTCTGCGAGTGCAGCATTCTTCCGAATGAAGCAGAGAGTGTTTGAGGACCGGAACATCCGTAGTGAGACCAAGGGGCTTGTTAACAAAGTAATTGTCCTCCCAACCCTGGCAGCCACCCCTCCACAAAAGTCAACATTGACACCGAAATACAACACCGCCTGAGCTCTGCGAGTGCAGCATTCTTCCAAATGAAGCAGAGAGTGTTTGAGGACCGGGACATCCGTAGAGAGACCAAGGGGCTTGTTAACAAAGCAATTTCTGCAACCTTGGCAGCCACCTCTCCACAAAAGTCAACATTGACACTGAAATACAACACCACCTGAGCTCTGCGAGTGCAGCATTTTTCTATGAAGCAGAGAGTGTTTGAGGACCGGGACATCCGTAGGAGACCAAGGTGCTTGTCTATAAAGTATTGTCCTCCCAACCCCTGGCAGCCGTACCCTCCACAAAAGTCAAACATTGACATTGAAATACACACCGCCTGAGCTCTGCGAGTGCAGCATTTTCCAAATGAAGCAGAGAGTGTTTGAGGACTGGGACATCCGTAGGAGACCAAGGGGCTTGTTTATAAAGCTATTGTCCTCCCAACCCTTGGCAGCCACCTGTCCATAAAAGTCTACATTGACACTGAAATACAACACCGCCTGAGCTCTGTGAGTGCAGCATTCTTCCAAATGAAGCAGAGAGTGTTTGAGGACCGGGACATCCGTAGCAGAAATACAGCTTAATGGTGTAACATTAGTAAATGTTGACCATTTCCGCTACCTTGGCAGCCACCTCTCCACAAAAGTCAACATTGACACCGAAATACAACACCGCCTGAGCTCTGCGAGTGCAGCATTCTTCCAAATGAAGCAGAGAGTGTTTGAGGACTGGGACATCCGTAGCGAGACCAAGGGGCTTGTTGATAAAGCGATTGATGCTGATGGAAAGCGTAAACTCCCAGAAGACCCTCACCTTGGTGACTTGCTGGGTGCCGTCTCTCATCAGCTCTTCCCACTCTTTTTCAGACAGCGAGAGCTTGAAATCGCGCATCTGGAGAGCTTTCTGAAGAAGCAAGCAAGCCTGGGCCTGAAATAAAAAAAAAAATTGGGGGTGAAAACCCAGACACCATATAACACCCCACAACAGGGAATACTGTGAGATTTCTGGGACCTTTAACAGCACTATCTATCTACTATCTATGTGTGACCTTGTAACAGAGCAAATAAGACTCCACTCGGGCACGCTTGATGGACTCTGCGAAAATGTGCCGGTGTGTGGATCCGTCGAGCTCCTCTCCCTTTAAAAGCCCGAGCTCTCTCCACGCATCAAGTGGCAAATATAATTCAGGCGCAGGAGAGTACTTACTCAACCTTGCAGTCCTTGCGGATGTATATATTTTTCGCTGAGAGGCGCGAAGGGGTTGAGAGACAGGTTGGCTACGCTCCGGCGAGCAAGGCAGCCGAGAAAGGCGAGCTCTCATTATCCCGTTTTGTGGCAAAGGGAGATAAGGAAACCGGAATTTATTTACCAGAATGACTTAGAAGATCGACTTGCAAAATTAGAGGAGCTATTTATTTATCGTATCTGGAGCAAACCAAGGGTAGAGTTGTAATGTATTTAAAAACCCACAAAGTTTGAAAACTTAAATTCTTGGGTGGTGATGGCGCAGTCGTCAGCATATATGAAACTCTCTGTTCTTCCTGGTAGTGGCTGCTTATTTGTGTCAATGTTAAACATGGATGGAGCAAGCACACTCCTTTCTTTCCCCATAGAATCCTAGAGTTGGAAGAGACCTCGTGGGCCATCCAGTCTAACCACATTCCACCAAGAATCAGGTAAACCTCCCAACAAAGGATTCCCCCAGGCAGTAAGAAACCAGGCCTTGAAACCGCAAGGCCATTCACCACCAAGAAGCAGGAAAACCTCCCAACAAAGGATTCCCCCAGGCAGTAAGAAGCCAGGCCTTTAAACCGCAAAGCTATTCACCACCAAGAAGCAGGAAAACCTCCCAACAAAGGATTCCCCCAGGCAGTAAGAAGCCAGGCCTTGAAACCACAAGGCTATTCACCACCAAGAAGCAGGAAAACCTCCCAACAAAGGATTCCCCCAGGCAGTAAGAAGCCAGGCCTTGAAACCGCAAGGCCATTCACCACCAAGAAGCAGGGAAACCTCCCAACAAAGGATTCCCCCAGGCAGTAAGAAGCCAGGCCTTGAAACCGCAAGGCTATTCACCACCAAGAAGCAGGGAAACCTCCCAACAAAGGATTCCCCCAGGCAGTAAGAAGCCAGGCCTTGAAACTGCAAGGCCATTCACCACCAAGAAGCAGGGAAACCTCCCAACAAAGGATTCCCCCAGGCAGTAAGAAGCCAGGCCTTGAAACCGCAAGGCCATTCACCACCAAGAAGCAGGAAAACCTCCCAACAAAGGATTCCCCCAGGCAGTAAGAAGCCAGGCCTTGAAACTGCAAGGGCATTCACCACCAAGAATCAGGTAAACCTCCCAACAAAGGATTCCCCCAGGCAGTAAGAAGCCAGGCCTTGAAACTGCAAGGGCATTCACCACCAAGAAGCAGGAAAACCTCCCAACAAAGGATTCCCCCAGGCAGTAAGAAGCCAGGCCTTGAAACCGCAAGGCCATTCACCACCAAGAAGCAGGGAAACCTCCCAACAAAGGATTCCCCCAGGCAGTAAGAAGCCAGGCCTTGAAATCGCAAGGGCATTCACCACCAAGAAGCAGGAAAACCTCCCAACAAAGGATTCCCCCAGGCAGTAAGAAGCCAGGCCTGGAAACCGCAAGGCCATTCACCACCAAGAAGCAGGAAAACCTCCCAACAAAGGATTCCCCCAGGCAGTAAGAAGCCAGGCCTTGAAACCGCAAGGCCATTCACCACCAAGAAGCAGGGAAACCTCCCAACAAAGGATTCCCCCAGGCAGTAAGAAGCCAGGCCTTGAAACCGCAAGGCCATTCACCACCAAGAAGCAGGGAAACCTCCCAACAAAGGATTCCCCCAGGCAGTAAGAAGCCAGGCCTTGAAACTGCAAGGGCATTCACCACCAAGAAGCAGGAAAACCTCCCAACAAAGGATTCCCCCAGGCAGTAAGAAGCCAGGCCTTGAAACTGCAAGGGCATTCACCACCAAGAATCAGGTAAACCTCCCAACAAAGGATTCCCCCAGGCAGTAAGAAGCCAGGCCTTGAAACTGCAAGGGCATTCACCACCAAGAAGCAGGAAAACCTCCCAACAAAGGATTCCCCCAGGCAGTAAGAAGCCAGGCCTTGAAACCGCAAGGCCATTCACCACCAAGAAGCAGGGAAACCTCCCAACAAAGGATTCCCCCAGGCAGTAAGAAGCCAGGCCTTGAAACCACAAGGCCATTCACCACCACGAAGCAGGGAAACCTCCCAACAAAGGATTCCCCCAGGCAGTAAGAAGCCAGGCCTTGAAACCGCAAGGCCATTCACCACCAAGAAGCAGGAAACCTCCCAACAAAGGATTCCCCCAGGCAGTAAGAAGCCAGGCCTTGAAACCGCAAGGCCATTCACCACCAAGAAGCAGGGAAACCTCCCAACAAAGGATTCCCCCAGGCAGTAAGAAACCAGGCCTTGAAACCGCAAGGCCATTCACCACCAAGAAGCAGGGAAACCTCCCAACAAAGGATTCCCCCAGGCAGTAAGAAGCCAGGCCTTGAAACCGCAAGGGCATTCACCACCAAGAAGCAGGAAAACCTCCCAACAAAGGATTCCCCCAGGCAGTAAGAAGCCAGGCCTGGAAACCGCAAGGCCATTCACCACCAAGAAGCAGGTAAACCTCCCAACAAAGGATTCCCCCAGGCAGTAAGAAGCCAGGCCTTGAAACCGCAAGGCCATTCACCACCAAGAAGCAGGGAAACCTCCCAACAAAGGATTCCCCCAGGCAGTAAGAAGCCAGGCCTTGAAACCGCAAGGCTATTCACCACCAAGAAGCAGGGAAACCTCCCAACAAAGGATTCCCCCAGGCAGTAAGAAGCCAGGCCTTGAAACTGCAAGGGCATTCACCACCAAGAAGCAGGAAAACCTCCCAACAAAGGATTCCCCCAGGCAGTAAGAAGCCAGGCCTTGAAACTGCAAGGGCATTCACCACCAAGAATCAGGTAAACCTCCCAACAAAGGATTCCCCCAGGCAGTAAGAAACCAGGCCTTGAAACTGCAAGGCCATTCACCACCAAGAAGCAGGGAAACCTCCCAACAAAGGATTCCCCCAGGCAGTAAGAAGCCAGGCCTTGAAACCGCAAGGCCATTCACCACCAAGAAGCAGGGAAACCTCCCAACAAAGGATTCCCCCAGGCAGTAAGAAGCCAGGCCTTGAAACCGCAAGGCCATTCACCACCAAGAAGCAGGGAAACCTCCCAACAAAGGATTCCCCCAGGCAGTAAGAAGCCAGGCCTTGAAACCGCAAGGCCATTCACCACCAAGAAGCAGGAAAACCTCCCAACAAAGGATTCCCCCAGGCAGTAAGAAGCCAGGCCTTGAAACCGCAAGGCCATTCACCACCAAGAAGCAGGGAAACCTCCCAACAAAGGATTCCCCCAGGCAGTAAGAAGCCAGGCCTTGAAACCGCAAGGCCATTCACCACCAAGAAGCAGGGAAACCTCCCAACAAAGGATTCCCCCAGGCAGTAAGAAGCCAGGCCTTGAAACCGCAAGGCCATTCACCACCAAGAAGCAGGGAAACCTCCCAACAAAGGATTCCCCCAGGCAGTAAGAAGCCAGGCCTTGAAACTGCAAGGCCATTCACCACCAAGAAGCAGGAAAACCTCCCAACAAAGGATTCCCCCAGGCAGTAAGAAGCCAGGCCTTGAAACCGCAAGGCTATTCACCACCAAGAAGCAGGAAAACCTCCCAACAAAGGATTCCCCCAGGCAGTAAGAAGCCAGGCCTTGAAACTGCAAGGGCATTCACCACCAAGAAGCAGGAAAACCTCCCAACAAAGGATTCCCCCAGGCAGTAAGAAGCCAGGCCTTGAAATCGCAAGGGCATTCACCACCAAGAAGCAGGAAAACCTCCCAACAAAGGATTCCCCCAGGCAGTAAGAAGCCAGGCCTGGAAACCGCAAGGCCATTCACCACCAAGAAGCAGGAAAACCTCCCAACAAAGGATTCCCCCAGGCAGTAAGAAGCCAGGCCTTGAAACTGCAAGGGCATTCACCACCAAGAATCAGGTAAACCTCCCAACAAAGGATTCCCCCAGGCAGTAAGAAACCAGGCCTTGAAACTGCAAGGGCATTCACCACCAAGAAGCAGGAAAACCTCCCAACAAAGGATTCCCCCAGGCAGTAAGAAGCCAGGCCTTGAAACTGCAAGGGCATTCACCACCAAGAAGCAGGAAAACCTCCCAACAAAGGATTCCCCCAGGCAGTAAGAAGCCAGGCCTTGAAAATGCAGGGCTATTCACCACCATGAAGCAGGAAAACCTCCCAACCAAAGGATTCCCCCTGGCAGTAAGAAGCCAGGCCTTGAAACTGCAAGGCCATTCAATGCTAAACAAGGTGGCCCATTGCAACAATCACACCTACCTCAAGCAGTTCTTTCTCCCACCCTGGAGATCATTCCATAGATAGATAAACCCAATTTTCCAAGTTTCCAACAGACCTCACAACCTCTGAGGATGCCTGCCATAGATGTGGGCGAAACGTCAGGAGGGAATGCTTCTGGAACATGGCCAGATGGTCAGGAAAACTCACCACAACCCTATGATTCTGGCCATGAAAGCCTTTGACAACAACACTAGTGATAACGTTTTTATCAAATCTGCAAAACGTGAAAACGCAGAGAGCCGTCTGCATTTCCCTTTCTGGTTCCAGTCTGTCTCCACGAGCGTTTACTCACCTGCTGGGGCTGCCGGGCTCCCTCCGTGATTGACTTGACCACAGTGGGGATCAGCTGCTTGCACATGGCCTTCAAGACAAAAAAAGAAGTCATTGGTGGTCAGTCTGCCCACCGTTGCCAGAGTGTGGACATGGAGACATTGTAAGGAAGGCCTACTCAGAGCTGGAGAAGGGAGAAAGGAGGTCCCCTCAGAGCTGAAGGAGAAAGGAGGCCTCCTCAGAGCTGGAGAGAGAACAAAGGAGGCCTCCTCAGAGCTGGAGAAGGGAGAAAGGAGGTCCTCTCAGAGCTGGAGAAGGGAGAAAGGAGGTCCCCTCAGAGCTGAAGGAGAAAGGAGGCCTCCTCAGAGCTGGAGAGAGAACAAAGGAGGCCTCCTCAGAGCTGGAGAAGGGAGAAAGGAGGTCCTCTCAGAGCTGGAGAAGGGAGAAAGGAGGTCCCCTCAGAGCTGAAGGAGAAAGGAGGCCTCCTCAGAGCTGGAGAGAGAACAAAGGAGGCCTCCTCAGAGCTGGAGAAGGGAGAAAGGAGGTCCCCTCAGAGCTGAAGGAGAAAGGAGGCCTCCTCAGAGCTGGAGAGAGAACAAAGGAGGCCTCCTCAGAGCTGGAGAAGGGAGAAAGGAGGTCTTCTCAGAGCTGGAGAAGGGAGGCCTCCTCAGAGCAGAAGGGGAAAGGAGAACTTATCAGAGCTGGAAAAAGCACAAACCTCATTGGAACTTGAGGAAGGACAACGGAGGTCCTCTCAGAGCTGGAGGAGAAAGGAGGCCTCCTCAGAGCTGGAGAGAGAACAAAGGAGGCCTCCTCAGAGCTGGAGAAGGGAGAAAGGGATCTTCTCAGAGCTGGAGAAGGGAGGCCTCCTCAGAGCAGAAGGGGAAAGGATAACTTATCAGAGCTGGAAAAAGCACAAAGGAGGCCTCATTGGAACTTGAGAAAGGACAACGGAGGTCCTCTCAGAGCTGGAGGAGAAAGGAGGCCTCCTCAGAGCTGGAAAGAGAACAAAGGAGGCCTCCCCAGAGCTGGAGAAGGAGGAAAGGAGGTCCTCTCAGAGCTGGAGAAGGGAGGCCTCCTCAGAGCTGAAGCGGGAAAGGAGGCCTTCTCAGAGCTGGAAAAAGCACAGATGCCTCATCAGAGCTGGAGAAGGAAGAAAGGAGGTCCTCTCAGAGCTGGAGGAGAAGGAGGCCTCCTCAGAGCTGAAGAAACAACAAAAGAGGCCTCCTCAGAGCTGGAGAAGGAGGAAAGGAGGTCCTCTCGGAGCTGGAGGAGAAAGGAGGACTCATCAAAGTTGGAGAAAGGACAAACAAGGCCTCCTCAGAGCTGGAGAAGAGAGGAAGGAGCAGGCCTGTAGCGAGGGGGTGGTTTTAGGGATTCAAACCCTCCCCGAAATGTTTCAGATTTTTTTTTTTAAAAAAACTGGTTTACTCATGAATTTTAACTGGTTAACCCAATCCCCATGCTGCTAAGTCTATGAGATGCAAAAAATTAAGAGTCCCCCCAGAACTGTAAGCACTATCTCAAGCAAATATTGACAATTTATTCACACTGTCATTACTTGCAGCAATAGCCGATGTAGTGAAGCAACCAAGTTGGGTGTGTGTGTGTTGAAGGCCAGACTTGGTGGAGGTGGTTGACAGGGGCAGAGCTGCAGGCTAGTGAAGGCTGCTCTGCCCTCTGCTGTGCTCTTTGCTTCAGCGTGAGCTAGGAGGCAGGTTTCAACCCCCCCCCCCGAAATTTTCAACCCCTCCCCAAATTTTCACACACACCCCCGCCAAAATTGTCAACCCTCCCTGAAATTTTTTTTCTGGCTACGGCCCTGGAAGGAGGTCCTCTCAGAGCTGGAGAAAGAACAAAGGAGACCTCATTGGAACTTGAGAAAGGACAATGGAGGTCCTCTCAGAGCTGGAGAAGAAAGGAGGCCTCCTCAGAGCTGAAAAGAGAACAAAGGAGGCCTCCTCAGAGCTGGAGAAGAAGGAAAGGAGGTCCTCTCAGAGGTGGAGAAGGGAGGTCCTCCTCAGAGCAGGAGAAGGGGGAAAGGAGGTCCTTTCAGAGCTGGAGAAAAAACAAAGGAGACCTCATCAGAGCTGGAGAAGGAAGAAAGGAGGCCTCCTCAGAGCTGGAGAAAGGACAAATGAGGCCTCCTCAGTGCTGGAGAAGGGAGAAAGGAGGTCTTCTCAGAGCTGGAAAATGAACAAAGAAGGCCTCATCAGAGATGGAAAAGAAAGGAGGTCCCCTCAGAGCTGGAGGAGAAAGGAGGCCTCCTCAGAGCTGGAGAGAGAACAAAGAAGGCCTCATCAAAGCTGCAGGAGGAGGAAAGGAGAGTTCCAAAGAGCTGAAGGAGAAAGGAGGCCTCCTCAGAGCTGGAGAGAGAACAAAGGAGGTCCTCTCGGAAGTGGAGAGAGAACAAAGGAGACCTCATTGGAACTTCAGAAAGGACAATGGAGGTCCTCTCAGAGCTGGAGGAGAAAGGAGGCCTCCTCAGAGCTGGAGAAAGGACAAAGGATGCCTCCCCAGAGCTGGAGAAGGAGGAAAGGAGGTCCTCTCAGAGCTGGAGAAGGGAGGCCTCCTCAGAGCAGAAGAAGGGGGAAAGGAGGCTTTCTCAGAGCTGGAGAAAGTACAAAGGAGGCCTCATCAGAGCTGGAGAAGGAGGAAAGGAGATCCTCTCAAAGCTGGAGAAGAAAGGAGGCCTAATCAGAGCTGGAGTAAGGACAAAGGATGCCTCCTCAGAGCTGGAGAAGGGAGAAAGGAGGTTCTCTTAGAGCTGGAGAAGGGAGAAAGGAGGCCTCCCCAGAGCTGGAGAAGGGAGAAAGGAGATTCTCTTAGAGCTGGAGAAGAGAGAAAGGAGGCCTTCCTCTCAGAGCTGGAGAAGGGCCAGCAATGGTTCCAAATGACACTAGGATGCCGGCAGTGCTGAGACGAGAATGGATTTTGATGCACACGCGTGAACCCAAGAGGCTCTTCTGCTTCCTTACCGGGTGCCGCTCGAAAAGATCGAGGAACATGGATCCCGTCAGCGGGCTTTTGCGCTTGCTGAAGAAGAGGCTCAAGGCCTCCTTGTACGCGGTGGCCGCTCGCTCCAGATCCAGGCTGCCGGCAGGAGGCTGCGGGGAAAGGGAGAGGCAGAAGGGTGAGCGCGTCCACCCTCACGGCCCTGGAACCGCTCTGGAACTGGTTCCACCCTCACAGCCCTGGAACCGCTCTGGGGAACAACCATGTTGACGGGCCTTACCTGGGCAACCGGCACATCACTTCCTCCGCTGCTCTTCGGCTTCTTTTTTGGTGTCGCTTCGGGAGTCGCCACGTTCCCCTTCAGCACTCGGCAGAGGTACAAAGAGGCACTAAAAGCAGAGGGAACAAAGGGAGGAAAGCAAAAAGGTGTGAGCATAGCATCAGCCAGGCAGGAAGACACCCTCAAAGCCCTCCCGAAAGATGGCCATCCAGCCAGAGATGGGAAACTCCACTGGACTTCTAGGAAGCCAAACCTTCACTATAGTTGGAAAAGACTCCCAGAGGGCATCTAGTCCAACCTCCATCCACCAAAAAGGAAGACACACTCAAAGCCCTCCCAAAAGATGGCCATCCAGCCAGAGAAGGAAACCCCACTAGACTCCTAGGAAGCCTAACCTTCACTGCAGTTGGAAGAGACCCCCAGAGGGCATCTAGTCCAACCCTCGTCAGCCAGGCATGAAGACACACTCAAATCCTTGCCAAAAGATGGCCATCCAGCCAGAAAAGGAAGCTTCACTGGACTCTAGGAAGTTGGAAGAGACTCTCAGAGGGCATCTAGTCCAACCCCTGTCAGCTAGGCATGAAGACACACTCAAAGCCCTCCTGAAAGATGGCCATCCAGACAGATATGGGAAACTCCATTGGAGTCTAGGATGTTGGAAGAGACCCTCAGAGGGCACTTAATCCAACCCCTGTCAGTCAGGCAGGAAGACACAGTCAAAGCCCTCCCAAGAGATGGCCATCCAGTCAGAGAAGGACACTCCACGGGACTCCTAGGAAGGCTAACCTTCACAACAGTTGGATGACACCCCCAGAGGGCATCTAGTCCAAACCCCGTCAGCCAGGCATGAAAACACACTCAAAGCCCTCCCAAAAGATGGCCATCCAGCCAGAGAAGGAAACTCCACTGGACTACTAGGAAGCCAAACCTTCACAACAGTTGGACGAGACCCCCCAGAGGGCATCTAGTCCAACCCCCATCAGCCAGGCATGAAGACACAGTCAAAGCCCTCCCAAAAGATGGCCATCCAGCCAGAGATGGGAAACTCAATTGGATTCCCAGGAAGCCTATCCTTCAGTAGTTGGACGAGGCCCCCAGAGGGCATCTAGTCCAACCACCATCAGCCAGGCAGATCTTCAAGCTTATATATATATAAAATATAAAATAAATATAAAATAAATAAAAATATAAAAATATAAAACATAAAACATAAAATATGTGATGTAATGTTATATTATATTAGTGTTGTACAGAACTATTATAAGGCCTTGACTTAACCTCTGGTTTGCCCGTAAAATCAAATGACTTGCGTGCATTTAAAAAGCATGTCCCTTGACGTGGAAAGTTTGGGCCAGGACTGATGGTATGGGACGCCCCCCAAACTCACCTGAAACAGTACAGGGCGACAGTGGAGTCGCGCTGCTTGCAGGCTCTTTTCACCAGGCTTTCCAGCTGGTCGTGCAGTTCCTCCCGGATGGGTCCGACATTTCTGCAATACTGCTTCGATCTGCACAAGCTATTCCTGTAAAGCCAAAACAAAGCCACACGATGCACAACCCACGTCAGGAAGGCAAGACCGACTTGTTGGAAGCTAGGCAAGTGAGGTTTATATATCTGTGGAATGATGTCCAGGATAGGAGAAAGAACTCTCGTCTGTTGGAGGCAAGTGCGAAAGTTGCAACTGGCCACATTGATTAGCATGGAATGGCCTAGCAGCATCAAAGCCTGGCTGTTTCCTGCCAGGGAGAATCCTTTGTTGGGATTCCTGATTGACCGACTGTCTGCGCAGGGTTCCATACTTTCCACTTTAACAACACAACCATTCAATGCTAAGGCTTCCCAACAAAATGGAACTGTAGAGGAGAGTCTACTGAACAAGCCAGTACCTGCCACATACCAGTACTGCCACCTTCTGAGGAGTTACGAAGGTGGAGGCATTACTTTTCACTTTAACAACACAACCGTTCCATGCTAAGGCTTCCCACCAGAATGGAACTGTGGAGGAGAGTCTACTGAACAAGCCAGTCCCTGCCGCATAGCAGTACTGCCATCTGTTGACGATTTACAAAGATGGAGGCATTACTTTTCACTTTAACAACACAACCATTCCATGTTAAGGCTTTGCACCAAAATGGAACTGTAGAGGAGAGTCTACTGAACAAGCCAGTACCTGCCGCATACCAGCACTGCCATCTATCGAGGTGTTACGAAGATGGAGGCATTACTTTTCACTTTAATAACACAACCGTTCCATGCTAAGGCTTCCCACCAAAATGGAACTGTAGAGGAGAGTCTACTGAACAAGCCAGTACCTGCCGCGTACCAGTACTGTCATCTGTTGAGGAGTTACGAGGATGGAAGCATTACTTTTCACTTTAACAACGCAACTGTTGAACGCTAAGGCTTCCCACCAAAATGGAACTGCAGCTTCACATATTAAGTTTTGCACCCGCGCGTTGTCTCCTTCGACTCACGTGAAGATGTCGGCTGTCTTCCGGAGGTAGTCCTGCTCTTGCTTGTCTGAGTCGGAGCTCATGCTCTGCTCGATGACGGAGAGGAGGGGCTCGATGACGTGAAAGACCAGGGGGTTTTCCGGCTGCTTCGCCAGAAACACCTCCACCAAGTCCAGGACCTGGAAGGAGAGGCACAGAAATGGACAAGGAGACACACAGAGGTGGACAGTACTTACAAAACTAGGGGGCGGTGGTGCTTTGCTTCTAAAGTTCTGGTGGTGAAAATTTCAGAACTCTAACAAAACTTTCAAAATGTCGTTATTATTTCGTTATTGGAAATTTTTTATGACAGAATCAATTAGAAACTTCCATTTACTAGCTGGTTCATTTGGGGGTGCTGGTGCTTTGCTTCTAAAGTGTTGCTAAAGTTCTGGTGGTGAAAATTTCAGAACCCTAACAAAACTTTCAAAATGTCATTATTGGAGATGTTTATGACAGAACGAATTGGAAACTGCCATTTTCTAGCTGGTTCATTTGGGGGTGCCGATGCTTTGCTTCTAAAGTTTTGCTAAAGTTCTGGTGGCAAAAACTTTAGAACCCTAGCAAAACTTTCACAATTTCATTATTGGATATTTTTATGACAGAACCAATTAGAAACTGCCATTTACTAGCTGGTTCATTTGGAGGTGCTGGTGCTTTGTTTCTAAAGTGTTGCTAAAGTTCTGGTGGCGAAAATTTCAGAACTAACAAAACTTTCAAAATTTCATTATTATTTCGTTATTGGGGATTTTTATGACAGAACCAATTAGAAACTGCCATTTACTAGCTGGTTCATTTGGGAGTGCCGGTGCTTAGCTTCTAAAGTGTTGCTAAAGTTCTGGTGGCGAAAATTTCAGAACCCTAACAAAACTTTCAAAATTTCGTTATTGGAGATTTTTATGACAGAATCAATTAGAAACTGCCATTTACTAGCTGGTTCATTTGGGGGTGCCGGTGCTTTGTTTCTAAAGTGTTGCTAAAGTTCTGGTGGTAAAAATTTCAGAACCCTAACAAAACTTTCAAAATTTCGTTATTGGAGATTTTTATGACAATATCCATTAGAAACTGCCATTTACTAGCTGGTTCATTTGGAGGTGCTGGTGCTTTGCTTCTAAAGTGTTGCTAAAGTTCTGGTGGCGAAAATTTCAGAACCCTAACAAAGCTTTCAAAATTTCGTTATTGGAGATTTTTATGACAGAATCAATTAGAAACTGCCATTTACTAGCTGGTTCATTTGGAGGCGCTGGTGCTTTGCTTCTAAAGTGTTGCTAAAGTTCTGGTGGCGAAAATTTCAGAGTCCTAACAAAACTTTCAAAATTTCATTATTGGAGATTTTTATGACAGAACCAATTAGAAACTGCCATTTACTAGCTGGTTCATTTGGAGGCGCTGGTGCTTTGCTTCTAAAGTGTTGCTAAAGTTCTGGTGGCAAAAATTTCAGAACCCTAACAAAACTTTCAAAATTTCGTTATTGGAGATTTTTATGACAATATCAATTAGAAACTGCCATTTACTAGCTGGTTCATTTGGAGGCGCTGGTGCTTTGCTTCTAAAGTGTTGCTAAAGTTCTGGTGGCGAAAATTTCAGAACCCTAACAAAACTTTCAAAATTTCATTATTATTTCATTATTTGGAATTATTATGACGGAACCAATTCGAAACTGCCATTTACTAGGTGGTTCACTTGAGAATTATCTAATCTCCGGCACTTTAGTTGGCCCCTTTCCTGTACTTACGACACTTTCATGGCCAAGGGCGTCACCCCGCCAACCCAGCCCTCTGACTATCGCACTTTCCCTCGGCTCTTCCAAGGAATCATTGCACTTACTCTGAGCCCGAACCCAGTTTTAAATTGGCCAACCAGGGTATTGTTTTTTATGATGTTTAATCGATTTTAATGTTTTTATTATTTGTTGTTATTGGTTGTTTTTACTGTTTTATTTGTAATCCTTCGGCTTGTCCCTCTGTAAGCCGCCCCGAGTCCCTTCGGGGAGATGGAGGCTGGGTATAAAAATAAAGTTATTATTATTATTTTATTATTATTATTTAGGATTGTTATGAAAATTGGAAACGGCTATATGACTTGGGATTATGTGATTTGTTCTATGTGATTATGTAATTTTAATTAATATTACTGTTTAATTGTTATGTAATGGGATTTTATATCATTGGTTCATATTGTTGTTATTGAGACTGTTGGCATTGATTTGTTGCCTGCGTTAGCCGCCCTGAGTCCCCCCTCGGGGCTGAGAAGGGCCGGGTAGGAATGGTGTAAATAAATAATAAATTATTATTATTATTATTATTATGGAGGCAGGGTATAAAAATAAAATTGTTGTTATTATTATTATAACAAAATTTTGTAAGTTTTGTTAGAGTTCTGAAATTTTCACCACCAGAACTTTAGCCACACTTTAGAACAGTGATTGTCAACCTTTCTAATGCCGTGACCCCTAAATAAAGTTCCTCATGTTGTGGTGACCCACAACCATATTTTTGTTGCTGCTTCATAACGGTAATTTTGCTACTCTTATGAAGCATAATGGAAATATCTGATATGCAGGATGTATTTTCATTGTTCTGAATTGAACATAGTTAAAGCATAGTGACTGATCACAAAACAGTATGGACAATGGATGATGGGATTTGCAGTACCTTCAACCGATTCACCTCCAAGTTCCACAGACCACTGAGACCCCTACAAATTATTGACCTGGAACAAACTTAGCACAAAGAACCCCCAATGACCAACAGAAAATACTGGAGGGGGCTGGGAGGAATTGAGAATGATTTACGAGAGATGTAGTTCACCTTCATATGGAGAGCGCTGTGAACACAAACAACTGTACACTTGGACCCAACTTGGCACAAATACTCAATATGTCCAAATTTGAACACTTCACGACCCCCCGAAAATGGCCCAACGACCCCCCTGGGGGTTGCGACCCCCAGGTTGAGAACTGCTGCTTTAGAAGCAAAGCACCAGCGCCCTCTAGTGTTGTAAGTACTTAAGTACCATTTAGAATCATGGATTGGCCATGCCTAATATCACAGAGATGGATGGATGGCATGATGGATGGATGGCATCCTTGAAGTGACTGGACTGACCTTGAGGGAGCTGGGGGTGGTAACGGCCGACAGGGAGCTCTGGCGTGGGCTGGTCCATGAGGTCACGAAGAGTCGGAGACGACTGAACGAATGAACAACAACAACAACAATATCACAGAATCATAGATAGGGGCCGAGGTAGCACAGCAGGTTAAACCGCTAGCTGCAGAAAAACTTGCTGACTGGAAAATTGGCAGTTCGAAACCACGTGACCTCCACCAAATATGGAATTGGACCAAACCTGGCACACAGAGCCCCTCATGACCAGGAAAAAATATTTAGTTAATATTTAGCACGCTCTCAGGAGATTGGAGGGACTCATCCTCAGGCAAAACGCCTTGCCTCCTACCTTGATTTTGAACTCCCGCCGCAGGATCTTCTCCTTCCGCATTTTTTCCTTCTCGTCCTTTTTGGCCTGGACCCGCTTCCGTTGCTCGGCAAAGAGAGCCGAGAGGTTCCCATCGAGGGACATCATGGTCTCGTCATCCAAGTCATCGTCGCTGTCATCCCCTCCCTTGGATTCGACAAACGGTCAAAGTGAAAAGCGGTCCAGGGAGAGGCTTGGCATCATGGAAAGTGACATTGAGGGAGTTAAAGTGTTGAAGCCCAGAAAAGGACAGGGCCCTGATAGGGTGGTTTGGATGAAACCGGCAGCCGTTTGGGAGCTCCTGCTTACGTACTCCCTTCAGGGTTTGTGTCCAGATGGATTTGTTTTGAGATTTCAAGGGATGGTCGTAGATTACAGACCGTCCCCGTGTTACAAACATCCAATTTACAAATGACTCCTAGGGAGTTAAAGTATTGAAGCCCAGAAAAGGACAGGGCCCTGATGGGATGGTCTAGATGAAACCAGAAGCCGTTTGGGAGCTCCTGCTTACGTGCTCCCTCCAGGGTTAGTTTCCAGATGGATTTGTTTTGGGATTTCAAGGGGTGTTTTTAGATTACAGGCCGTCCCCATGTTACAAACATCAGACTTACAAACGACTCCTAGGGAGTTAAAGCGTTGAAGCTCAGAAAAGGACAGGGCCCTGATGGGATGGTCTGGATGAAACCGGCAGCTGTTTGGGAGCTCCTGCTTACGTGCTCCCTCCTGGGTTTGTGTCCAGATAATTAGTTTTAGGATTTCAAGGGGGTGTTTTAGATTACAGGCCGTGCCCGTGTTACAAACATCCAATTTACAAATGACTCCTAGGGAGTTAAAGCATTGAAGCCCAGGAAAGGACAGGGCCCTGATGGGGTGGTTTAGATGAAACCGGCAGCCGTTTGGGAGCTCCTGCTTACATGCTCCCTCCTGGATTTGTTTCCAGATGGATTTGTTTTGGGATTTCAAGGGGTGGTTTTAGATAACAGGCTGTCCCCATGTTACAAATATCTGACTTACAAACGACTCCTAATGAAGAATGGGGCTGAGACAACAGGAAAAGCAGAATTTGCACAGGAAAAATCACTAATAATAATAATAATAATAATAATAATAATAATAAATAATGCTCCTTGACTCAGTTCAGAAGTGGATTTCCCTTCCTTCTGAGGGGAAGATTCCTCTCAATTCCTGTTGTATCTGCCACGTTCTTAACTAGGAGTCGGATGTATGTAACTCGGGGACGGCCTGCAATTCCTCAGCAAAGCAAAGATGATGTTTCCTTGTGAAGGATTTGGGTTATCACGGCACAGGTCAATGACCCCCAGGGCCTCTGTGCTGCCCTCCCCTTCTTTGCCCACTGACCAGTGCATTGCCAGCCTGCAAAACGTTGGTCAGCATGGAGCGGAAGGCCTCGTCCGCCTCGCCCTCGTCTTCGCTCTCTGTCTCCGGAGCGTTGTCCTCCTCAGAGCTGTCTTCCTCGGCGGAACTCTCTCCGCTCATCCCATCGTCGCTCTCCTCCAAAAGACAGAAAGAAAAGATAAGGAATTTTCAAAAAGAGCGCGTCCTTCCATTGGGAAGCAAAAACTTTTCTATCCAGGACAGGCTTTAAAAGAGGAAGGTTTTAAAGGTCAAGTCAAGGGGTGAAGTGACTGGAGCGTTGAGTATGTTTTCAATCCGTTTATGTGGGGTTTAATTGTGAATGTTTCAGGCCATTGATATGCTTCTTCTCTCCACAAACATACAAACATACACCCAACTTAAAATGTTGGTGGGGTATCGAGGTCATTGACCCAGGAGGATAGGAGTTGTAGTCCACCCACATCCAAAGAGCCATGTATACCTATTAATGTATTATTATTATTATTGTTGTTGTTGTTGGTATTATTATTATTATATTTATTTATTATATTTATTTTTGGAGGGGAAAGGGGTGTGCGACCATTATGCGGTGAAAAAAGTAAAAAAAAAAAGACCTATCTTATCCCCAAGACAAAGATGAGTTCTGTGTTAAAAAATAATAATAATAATAATAATAATAATAATAATAGTGTTACATAGCGCTATAGGATGCTAGGAGTTTGGTTTCTGACCCTTTGGGTTGGAGAGTACTTTCCTCAGAAATTTATTTACTTATTATTTATTTAAAACTTTTACATCCCGATCTTCTCTACCTCCGTAGAGGGACTCAGACTGGCTGACAGCTAACAGTAAAAATCTAAAACATCATATATTAACAAATACATATAAAATAAATACATAAAAGCTGTTCGCCAAGATAAAAAACATGCCCAACTCAGTCCGTATATTCAGTCCATGTATTGTGGTCAATACTTTGGTCGGTTACCGGTCTCACCCATCATTCTGCAAAGGCTTTGTTCCACAACCAGGTTTTCGCTAATTTCCTACAGGTCAGGAGGGAGGAGGCAGATCTAATTTCATTCGGGAGGGAATTCTATAGCCAGGGGGCCACCACAGAAAAGGCCCTGTCTCTCGTTCCCACCAGATGTGACTGTGAAAGTGGCAAGACCGAGAGCAGGGCCTCTCCAAACGATCTTAACACTCAGGATGGTTCATAGGGGAGTCCCTTGCTTTACCTTATTCAGGTGGCAAAGAAGAGGAGCCCATGGGTGGAGGTGATTATGGAGATCCTCCTCTCCCTTCTGGTACAGTCAGAGAGCCTTCAATGAATTTTTCACCGGAGTATGCATAAAATCCCAAAATGAACAATGACTAATTCTAATGTTTAGCCTAAGAAAACTCTTGAACACAACTAGATTTCTCACCTCATCTGGCAAAGACTTCCTCTTCGTCTTCTGGGCCTCTTCGATAACCACAACTGCGCTTTCTTCATCCTGGTCTTGCTGTGGGTCGAGAACCTTGAGGAGAAACAAAGACGTGGCTGTGTAATTTTGTGAAAGATCCGGATCGTAGAACCACAGACGCCGAGGGTTGGCCATCGAAATTCAGTCCCCAAACACTCACGTCCAGAATGAGCCGCAGGGCAGCCTCCGTCATGTGCTGACACACGAGCGCATACACGCTTCTGCAGACCCGCCGGATCAATGCGCTGGACTGCGCCAGAAGGGAGAGGAGGACCTCCACAATCACCTCCACCCATTCGGGCTCCTCTTCTTCGCCGTCTGAATAAGATAAAGCAAGAGACTGAGATTCCCGGGGAAAGAATTCCTCTCTAACCAGAAGGGTCAGAAACCAAACTCCCAGCATCCTATAGCACTACGTAACATTATTATTATTATTATTATTATTATTATTATTATTATTATTATTATTTTCACCGCATAATGGTCGCACTCCCTTTCCCCCTTCAAAATAAATATAATAATAATACCAACAATACCAATAATAATACATTAGTTATAACGATAATACAATAGCATTATGTAACTATTATTATTATTATTTTCACCACATAATGGTTGCACTCCCTTTTCCCCACCAAAATAAATATAATAATAATACCAACAATAACGATAATAATACATTAGTTATAACGATAATACAATAGCACTATGTAACACTATTATTATTATTTTCACTGCATAATGGTCGCACTCCCTTTTCCCCACCAAAATAAATATAATAATAATACCAACAATAACAATAATAATACATTAGTTATAACGATAATACAATAGCACTATGTAACACTATTATTATTAGTTTCAATGCATAATTGTCACACTCCCCTTTCCCCTAAAATAAATATAATAATAATACCAACAATAACAATAATAATACATTAGTTATAACGATAATACAATAGCACTATGTAACACTATTATTATTATTTTCACTGCATAATGGTCGCACTCCCTTTTCCCCACCAAAATAAATATAATAATAATACCAACAATAACAATAATAATACATTAGTTATAACGATAATACAATAGCACTATGTAACACTATTATTATTATTTTCACTGCATAATGGTCGCACTCCCTTTTCCCCACCAAAATAAATATAATAATAATACCAACAATAACAATAATAATACATTAGTTATAACGATAATACAATAGCACTATGTAACACTATTATTATTATTATTATAATTATTTTCACCGCATAATGGTCACACTCTTTCCCCTCCAAAATAAATATAATAATAATAATACCAACAACAATAACAATAATAATACATTAGTTATAACGATAGTACAATAATACTATGTAACGATCTTTGTTCCTGGGTTATAAATGTCATTTCCTTATTGGTTCTATCCTAAAAACACTGGAAAATTTTATTCAACTGCACAAACTTTGCTTTTGTGGGAGGGACATCCTGCTATAGCACATTTTTGCTGTAGTACAGTCTGAGACTGATGGGTTCACCGATGGTTTAAGAGAATTGTGGGATTTCCTGGGGCACAAAGGGATGAAGATTCAAGTCAGGGAAATGATAGTTCTCTCTGGAAGAAACCTGACTCAAAAAGTGCAGGGCTTCAAGGTCAGTCAGAGGAGCCAGAAACTGCAACATCAGATAAGGAGTCAGGCAAAGAGATAAGTGATATGGGAGGTTCCCAGGGAAAAACACCTGGAGCTACGGAGATCAACAAACTCTTTGTTTACAGATTAGGGCAGAAAATGGTCAGAGGAGCCAGAAACAGCAACATTAGATAAGGAGTTGGTCAAGGAGCTAAATTATGCAGAAGGCTCCCAGGGAAAACACCTGGAGCTATGGAGATCAACAAAAGTCTTTGTTTACAGATTAGAGCAGAAAATAGTCAGAGGAGCCAGAAACAGCAACATTAGATAAGGAGGTGGGCAAAGAGATGTGATATGGAAGGCTCCCAAGGGAAAACACCTGGAGCTATGGAGATCAACAAAAGTCTTTGTTTACAGATTAGAGCAGAAAATAGTCAGAGGAGCCAGAAACAGCAACATCAGATAAAGAGGTGGGCAAAGAGATAAGTGATACAGAAGGCTCCCACGGGAAAACACCTGGAGCTATGGAGATCAACAAAAGTCTTTGTTTGCAGATTAGGGCAGAAAATACTCAGAGGAGCCAGAAATAGCAACATTAGATAAGGAGGTGGCCAAAGAGATAAGTGATACAGAAGGCTCCCAAGGGAAAACACCTGGAGCTATGGAGATCAACAAAAGTCTTTGTTTATAGATTAGGGCAGAAAATAGTCAGAGGAGCCAGAAAGAGCAACATTAGATAAGGAGGTGGGCAAAGAGATAAGTGATGCGGAACGCTCCAATGGGAAAACACCTGGAGCTATGGAGATCAACAAAAGTCTTTGTTTACAGATTAGAGCAGAAAATAGTCAGAGGAGCCAGAAACAGCAACATTAGATAAGGTGGTGAGCAAAGAGATGTGATACGGAAGGCTCCCAAGGAAAAACAACTGGAGCTATGGAGATCAACAAGTCTTTGTTTACAGATTAGAGCAGAAAATAGTCAGAGGAGCCAGAAACAGCAACATTAGATAAGGAGTTGGGATCTACAGATACCAATTGCTAAAAATTCCATTCTCAGACTGGGGAAGGGAAGCCAAGACGAGGAATTGCAATGATATCATTGTAATGATATAGCAATTAGAAGAGACTGTTCTGAACAAGACAATCTTCTCGGAATGGAACTCACCGGCAGAAACGGAAGTCTTCTTTTTCGGTTTCTCTCCAAAGGCTCTCTTGGTGCAGTTCTGGAGGTCGTTCAGGAGGCTCACACACTCAGCAGGAGACTAATCGGGAGGCAAATCCAGAGCGGAGAAGGCAAGAAGAGACCAAAAGACAAATATGGATGATTACACACATTTCTTCCTCTTCTTCCCTCCCAAAGACAGTTATATACAAGTTATATGTATACACATTATTATTAGCATAGCACAATCTTAGTATTATATATTACTATATTGTACCATACTGCAATATTATTAGTAATGTTACACAAAATCTGTAATACACAATTATTATATCATTATACTGTATTATTAGTAGAATTATATTGTATTACATTGTAATATTATTATCAATACTATATATAAATTCAATATATTATCATAGCATATTAGTATTATATAGTACTATTTTGTACTATACCGCTATACTGCAATATTATTATGTAATATCTAATTAGTGTATATACTTGAATATAAGCCTAGTTTTTCAGCCCCTTTTTTAGGCTGATACTCGAGTCAAGATTATTTATTCTTTTACTCTGTTTTTAGTATAATTTTATTACATGTATTATTTTACTCTATTATTATTATATTGACATTATTTTGCTCTATTATTCTATTTATTATTTTGCTCTATTATTACATTTAAAGTATTTTACCCTATTATTATTACATTTATTATTTTAATCTTATTATTATTATTATTACATTTACAGTATGTTACCCTATTATTGCTACATTTATTATTTTACTCCATTATTACTGTTTTTATTGCATTTTCATTATTTTACTCTATTATTTTTATTATTTTAATAATTATTATTTATTATTACTATTATTACTATTATTATTATTAACTTTATTTGTACCCCGCTAGCATCTCCCGAAGGACTCGATGCGGCTTACAAAGGCCAAGGCCTCAATACACAACATAACAATACAAAACCTAAAGAAAATTAAAACAATTAAAGCAATATTAAACAACAAACAATAAACAATACACCAAGACACAATGAAACTGGGCCGGGCCAGAGTAATGGGTACAGGAATTAAAAGTGCTGATGTGACATGTGATATATAAGGATTATAGGGCAAGTGCAGTGTGCAGTGTGCGGCAATCTTAGTTCTACTAAAGTGCTTCTGGGACTTGGTATTGGAGATTTCCTAATCGGGAAAGGCACATCAGAACAGCCATGTCTTCAAGTTCTTTCTAACGACTGCCAATGGAGGGGCCTGTCTAAGATCTTTGGGGAGGGTGTTCCAGAGTCGGGGGCCACCACAGAAAAGGCCCTGTCTCGTGTCCCCACCAACGCGCTTGCGACGCAGGCGGGATCACGAGCAGGGCCTCTCCAGATGACCGAAGTGAACGCGTGGGTTCGTAGATGGAAATGCGGTCACGCAGGTAGGAGGGTCCCAAACCGTTCAGGGCTTTGTAGGTAAGCATCTGCACCTTAAATTGGGCTCGGAAAATAAACGGCAGCCAGTGGAGCTCCTTAAACAGGAGGGTTGACCTCTCTCTGTAGTGGGCCCCAGTTAACATCCTGGCTGCTGCCCGTTGGACCAATTGGAGTTTCCGAGCCGTTTTCAAGGGCAGCCCCATGTAGAGCGCATTGCAGTAGTCCAATCTGGAGGTGACCAAGGCATGGACCACTCCGGCCAGATCCGCCTTCGCGAGGTACGGTCGCAGTTGGCGCATGAGTCTCAGTTGTGCGAAAGCCCTCCCAGACACCGCCGACGCCTGAGCCTCAAGCGTAAGTGATGAATCCAAGGAGGACTCCCAAACTGCGGACCTGTGGCTTCAGGGGGAGTGTAACCCCGTCCAACACAGGTTGCCACCCTATACCCGGTCTGGTTTGCGATCGACCAGGAGGATCTCTGTCTTGTCGGGATTGATCTTCAGCTTGTTCCTCCTCATCCAGATAGACACAGCGGCCAGGCACTCGTCTAGCACCCGAGAGGCCTCCTTGGAGTTGGGTGGAAAAGAGTAGTAGAGTTGTGTGTCATCTGCATAGAGATGGCACCCAACTCCAAAACTCCGGATGACCTCTCCCAGCGGTTTCATGTAGATGTTAAAAAGCATGGGAGAAAGAATAGAGCCTTGCGGGACCCCACAGGTCAAAGGCCAGGGATCCGAGCAGGCGTCTCCCAGCTTCACCATCTGGGATCGACCCTCCAAGAAGGACCGGAGCCACGACAGAACCGTGCCCCCGAGACCCATCCCAGAGAGTACATTTACATCGAAGGAGGTTAGAATAATGGTTTAATAAGAGTTGGACAGTCTTATATTAAATTACAGTTTTATGTAAATATTCAGAAACATTTAGCCTATCGATACCTCAATTAATGTAATTTTATTGGTATCTATTTTTTATTTTGAAATTGACCCATAGCGGATGCATTTCCCACCCTCAGCTTATACGTTTTCCCAGTTTTTTGTGATAAAATTAGGTGCTTCAGCTTATATTCGGGTTGGCTTATACTTGAGTATATATGGTAATAGATTGTATTGTATTATTATTAGTATTATATTGTATTTCATTATTTCAATATTATGTGTGCATACAATATATTACATTATTAGCTTAGCACAATATTAGTAATATACGTTACTATATCGTACTATATCAGTACACTGCATTATTATTATTATGTCATATCTAATTATTATATTGTATTATTAGTATTGTATTACATGGTAATACTATTATCAATATACACAAATTCACATACAATACATAAACATTAAAAAACATTTATCAAAATATTAAAATACACCATTGAATGAAACCCAGCAAAAAAGAAACGACCTATTTTTTTTCACCACATAATAGTCGCATCCCATTTTTTACTCAACAAAAAGGGGGTGGGGTAATAAAAAGTGCGACTATTATGTGATGAAATGCGGGAGTTAAATTTCAAAGCCACAGATGTCCATCAGGGCTGGTGTTACCTTGAAGAGGTGGATGCCCACCAGCAGCAAGAGGTGCTGGAAGGCGGTGGTCTTCAAGGTGAGGGTCTTCTGCTCTCTCCTCCGGAGGGCTTCCACCGTCTGCAACATCCTGCGGGGAAGGAGAAGAGTCAAAGATTGGGAGGTCCGTAAGAGGCAAATCGGGTGAAGGTACTGCAAATCCCATCATCCATGGCAAGTTTGGTGCAGATTTGCCACGGGGACCGTCTGTACATGCTTTCCATGACTGAGACCCCATCAGTGGTTCTTACCGGTCCCAAGCGAACTGGGCCTCTTCGCTGAACGGTGTCACGGCTTCGACGTGCTTCTTGTCGGAGAGGAGAGTGTTGGCGTACTGGACGGCCACGTAGATCCACGGCTCCCCGCTGGCAGCCAAGCCGTGGAGGTGCTTCTTCCGCATCTCTTCGGCCTCGGCAGAGTCTCCCAGGGCAGGCATTGTGTTCAGGTGCTGAAGCAAACTGAGGAAGAAGACGTGGTCAGAAAGAGAAGGACGAAATTCATACAGATCTCCCTTTCCCTTCTCTTCCCTCCAATCAGATTCTGCCCAGCATCCCCCACAAAGAGAACACCCCGTATTTCCTATTTGTGATTAACTGCATTTCATCAAATAGTCACTACTGTGCAATAACGGCACCCATATCTTTTGGGATGCAAAGACAGATTTTTTTTCACCACGTAATAGTCGCACTCCCCCTTTTTCGATCAAAGGAATAAATAGACAAGGTTAGAGAAGGAAAAAAGAAACCGGAAAATCAAAGGTAGTTTTTATCACCACGTAATAGTCACAGCACCTTTTTGATCAAAGGAATAAATAGACAAGGTAAGAGACAGAAAAAAGAAACTGAAGAATCAAAGACTTTTTTAACCACGTAATAGTCGTACTCCCCATTTTGATCAAAGGAATAAATAGAAAAGGTAAGAGAAGGAAAAAAGAAACTGGAGAATCAAAGGCTTTTTTCACCATGCAATAGTTGTACTCCCCTTTTTGATCAAAGGAATAAATAGACAAGGTAAGAAGGAAAAAACTGGAGAATCAAAGGCTTTTTTTTACCATGTAATAGTTGTACTCCCTTTTTGATCAAGGGAATAGACAAGGTAAGAGAAGGAAAAAAGAAACTGGAGAATCAAAGGCTTTTTTTTTCACCCTGTAATAGTCGTACTCCCCTTTCTGATCAAAGGAATAAACAGACAAGGTAAGAGAAGGAAAAAAAAGAAACTGGAGAATCAAAGCTTTTTTTTTCACCACGTAATAGTCACACCCCTTTTCTGATCAAAGGAATAGACAAGGTAAGAGAAGGGAAAAAAGAACTGAAATATCAAAGGCAATTTTTTTCACCACGTAATAGTCGCACCCACCTTTTTTGATCAAAGGAATAAAGAGACAAGCTAAGAGAAGGAAAAAGAAACTTGAGAATCAAAGGCAGATTTTTTTTCACCATGTAATAGTCGCAAAGCCAATACCTGAAAAATGAGTCTGCAGTCGCTGCACGAGTCGACTCATTCAGAGGCACCGAGGGGACGGTTTCCGTCTCTGGTATTTTGGAGGTTGTTTTCCTGGTCTTGAAAAACGCATGGAAGAAGCAGAACCTGGAAGAGCAAGGCAGAGATAGATGTCTCAATAGGGGCTGCAAAAGGAAGCGGACTGGCAACTCTAGCTGTACAGAGGCTTTCTAGACCTGTGTGGGCACCCACAACCTTATGCATTTGGTACCATTAAAAAAATGACTTTTTCAAATAACCTGGCCAATGACAGGGGCACAAGCTAGTGTTTGTGTGCATGTACATATATGTGTGTGTGTGTGTGTGTGTGTGTGTGTGTGTATATATATATACACACACGTATATGTGTATATTAGGCTTGGTTGATCCAAAAAAATGGTTCAAAACTTGTTTCAGATGTAGGTGGTTCAATTCTAAAGTCAATTCTGATTTTCACAAAAAAAATGTTCAAAACTTTTCAAAACTTCCGAGACTTCTGAATCTTTTCGTTAATGGTTTGAAAGTGTTATTTCCTGTTTAATTGGGTGGTCTTTAATTCGAAAGTAGTTGTTTTCCCCGGAAGCGGGGAAAAGCGAGTGGAGGAAATTCCTCCCTTCTCTGGTTTAAAACTGGCTTCTCTGGCTTGAGCCGAGGCCAGGGACCAGAAGTGGGGAAAATCTGAATCATTTCCGACTCACTTCATGAGTCGTAACAAAAATGGCGGAAAAAGCTTCAGAAGGGCAAAGGGACTTCCGGTTTTCTTAAAAACTTCAAAATTACTTCAAAAAGGTAATTTTTCCGACTTTATTCTTAATTACGAAGATTCCGATGGCACCTAACCATGCCTAGTGTGTGTGTGTGTGTGTGTGTGTGTATATATCTATATATTCAGATTAACTTCAAAATTCAGCAGCAGATCAGTTGCACAACTTCAGCGCTTTCCAGTAGCTTCTTCCTGCACAGTATTTTCAGTCAACTGCTCCCACAGCCTGCAGTCGACTCTGGAACCTTTTACAGACATTTGAGCACATGCCCGGACATTGTCAGTTTTACCATTGTCTTTCCCCCAGTCTAGATATTACAGACTTACCACAGCATACAGTTATATCTTGTCTTAGCAGACAGGTTCTTTTAATTACATATAGCCTTCGACGAACAACATCACAGCACAAAGAGAGAGAATACACTGTACATGACTTCCTTATATACAATTCTATACAATTACACATAGCAATCTCTGATTGGTTCCCAACTCATTAACTTAACTCAGACCCAGGATTACATCATTCACAATCACCTGGACTAGGCCAGAACACATTCCCCAAATGATTCCCTATATACAGTTAATGCATGACTCAGCATTCCCAATAGAAGCCCATTAGCAGTGGGCTCAGCTATATTACATTACAATATATTGTAAAACCTGACATATATCTATATATATCTGTTGTTACACTTTTAAAATGCACCTGTTTTGACTTACAAACAGATTCAACTTAAGAACAAGCCTATAGAACTGATCTCTTACCTGGCAATGTCAATCACAAACTCTTCTTCCCTCTTTATCTGTGGATTCTCGGCGATGCCAACGAGACGGGCAATGAGCCACTTCCTCAGCCGCGTCACGGTGTGCTCCGTCAATTCCCTGCATCAACAGAAAGAAAATGAATCCCCAAGGCTGAGACCCTTGTCTTGTCCCTTGGATACTATACTGTATGACCCTACCCGCTTTGATGATAGCCCTGAGTCCCCTCGGGGTGATAGGACGGAATATAAACAAAGATTATTATTATTATTATTATTATTATTATTATAAACACAACAAGGTGAGTCCACAGCAGACACTCTGCTGGCTGTTGTATTGTATTATTATTATTATCTGGTCGCATTCAAACCCCTCGTTCTGAGAGCGACGCCTTACGTGTCCGTCTTCTTCTCGTTCTGCTCCTGCCGCTTGGTGGCAAACTCCACGCAGGAGTCGAGGTCCGGCGCCAGAAACATGCCCTTGATCCACTGGATGTAGCTGAGCAGGGCGTCGGGAAGCAGATGCCTGGCCACCCTCCAGAAGCTGGGCACGACAGGATAGCCATGGTTGGTGAGGGTGGAGAAGCCCACCATGACGGCCACCTGCTTCTTGGGGTCGCCACAGCCTTCGAGGAACGAGCCCACCAAGGCTTCCATTTCGGGGGCAAACTTAAACCTGTTGGGGAGCTGAAAAGACATCCGCAAGTTTGCTCTAGATGCCCCATCAGTGGGGTTCAGTCTGCTCTCTGGCTGTAGGGTAAACTACAACCCCCACTCTGGTGAGCCAGTCCCCTCAAACCCTTCCAGTAGGTTGAGTGAGTCATAGAGGTTCTGTGGGCCAACCCCGCTTCTCTGGTGTGGGTGAACTACAACTCCCAGAAAGGAAGGTCAGTTCCCCTCAAACCCTTCCAGTAATCACATTTCAGCATATCAGGTCTGTGTGCCAAGTTTGGTCCACAGCCATTGGTGTTTGGTTTCACAGTGCTCTCTAGATGTAGGTGAACTACAACTCCCCCAAATCAAGGTGAATATTCCCCAAAGACCTCCAGTGCATTTTGCCCATCACGGGGCCCTGTGTGTCAAGTTAGTTCAGGGTCCATTTTTGGTGGAGTTCAGAGTGCTCTTAGATTGCAGGTAAACTATACATCTCAGTACCCACAACTCCAAAATGTCCATACCAATTCTCCTCAAAACCTACCAGTATTCAAATGTGCGCACATCGGGTATGCATGCCAAGTTTGGTCCAGATCCATTGTTGTTTGGGTTCATAGTGCGCTCTGGATGTAGGTGAACTACAACTCCTCTAAATCCTTCCAAAGAAGGAGGGCCATTGGTGTCTCTTGAGTGGTGGGAGCTACAACTGTTTGTGGAGGCCGGAGCTTGTCTGTGAAAGTGGACATCCCAGCCACATTCAGATTTTCATTTTTATTATGTGTATAGAAGATATAGAAACTGTATATACTCGAGTATAAGCCTAGTTTTTCAGCCTCTTTTTTTAGGCTGAAAAAGCTCCCCTCAGCTTATACTCGAGTCAAAGTTATTTATTATTTTACTCTGTTATTACTATTATTTTTATTACATTTATTATTTTACTCTATGGTTGGTATTATTACATTTACATTATTTTACTCTTATTATTATTTTATTACATTTATTTTATTCTATTTATTATTATTATTACATTTATTATTTCACTTTATTATTATTGTTATTACATTTATTATTTCACTTTATTATTATTATTACATTTATTATTTCACTTTATTATTATTGTTATTACATTTATTATTTTACTTTATTATTTTTATTATTATTACATTTATTATTTTACTTTATTATTCTTGTTATTACATTTATTATTTTACTCTATGATTGGTATTATTACATTTACATTATTTTACTCTTATTATTATTTTATTACATTTATTTTATTCTATTTATTATTATTATTACACTTATTATTTCACTTTATTATTATTGTTATTACATTTATTATTTTACTCTATTTATTATTATTATTACATTTATTATTTTACTTTATTATTATTGTTATTACAATTATTATTTTACCCTGTTATTACTATTATTTTTATTACATTTATTCTTTTACTCTATTATTGGTAGTATTACGTTTACATTATTTTACTCTATTTATTATTATTACATTTATACTTTTACTTTATTATTATTGTTATTACATTTATTATTTCACTTTATTATTATTGTTATTACATTTATTATTTTACTTTATTATTGTTATTACATTTATTATTTTACTTTATTACTGTTATTGAATTTATTATTTCACTTTCTTTCTTATTATTGGAAGGATATGTAAGCACATTAACACTGAAAAAGGTTAGAATAATAGTTTAATCAAAGTTGATTAGTCTTCCTTTAAATTACAGTTTTATGTAAGCATTGAAAAACATTTATACTACTGTTTCTTCAATTAATGTAATTTTATTGGTATCTATATTGATTTTGTATTAACAGTAGCTGCTGCATTTCCCGCCCTCGACTTATATTCGAGTCAATACGTTTTCCCATTTTTTGGTGGTAAAATTAGGTGCCTCGGTTTATATTTGGGTTAGCTTATACTCGAGTATATACGGTATACAGAAAAGATAGATAGAAGATATAATATAATGTAATAAGTTGTATAATGCTGCTGCTGATGCTAATAATAATAATTCTGCAATAAGTATTATTGGGCTATATGGCCATGTTCTAGAAGCATTCTCTCCTGACGTTTCGCCTGCATCTATGGCAAGCATCCTCAGAGGTAGTGAGGTCTGTTGGAATTAGGACAATGGGTTTATATATCTGTGGAATGACCAGGGTGGGACAAAGGGCTCTTGTCTGCTGGAGCTAGGTGTGTCCATTTAGCGAACCATGCTTCATCCCTCACAGATAAGATTTTGTTGTCACTCACCTTTGTTGACACAACATGGACCCCGTAGTGTCGCATGACTTCCCCTTGAAGAACCATCTTGAGCTGTTTGAGAGATAAGAGCGGGAGAGCGCTGCCCAGCAACCGGTAGCACATATAACTAGGACAGAACAAAACAAAAAGGATTTTGAATAAAGATGATGGCTAGTAGAGTATCTCCACATTTGGCGCTTGCCGAGAGCCTATGAAGGCCTGCCAAGATCGAGGATACTATCCCATAATTGATTAATTGTGGCATCAAAACTGTGTATGTATGGGTCAGGAGCAACTTGAGAAACTGCAAGTCGCTTCTGGTGTGAGAGAATTGGTCATCTGCAAGGACGCTGCCCAGGGGACGTTGCACGGATGTTTTACCACCCTTGTGGGAGGCTTCTCTCATGTCCCCGCATGAGGAGCTAGAGCTGACAAAGGGAGCTCATCCCCATTCTCCCCGGATCCGAATCTCAGATCTGTCAGTCTTCAGTCCTTACCGGCATAAGGGTTCAACCCACTGCACCACCAGGGACTCCTATGAAAACTATGACAGTGCTTATTGTAATGTTATTTTGTTATTGTATTCATGTGCTTTTTTAATGTAATTTTGATGATGTTGCTTGTTGTTTATGTTTTGGTTTTATTTTGATGTAATATGTTGTCCAGGCTTGGCCCCATGTAAGCGGCTCTGAGTCCCCATTGGGGAGATGGTGGCGGGGCATAAATAATAATAATTATTATTATTATAATTATTATTATTATTATTATTATTATTGTTATTATTACTAGCTGTCCCCTGCCACGCATTGCTGTGACCCACATGGGGGTTCTGTGTGGGAGGTTTGGCCCAATTCTATCGTTGGTGGGGTTCAGAATGCTCTTTGATTGTAGGTGAACTATAAATCCCAGCAACTACAACTCCAAATGTCAAGATTCTATTTCCCCCAAACTCCACCAGTGTTCACATTTGGGCATATTGAGTATTCGTGTAGAGTTTGGTCCAGATCCATCATTGTTTGAGTCCACAGTGCTCTCTGGATGTAGGTGAACTACAACTCCAAAACCAAAGGACACTGCCCACCAAACCCTTCCAGTATTTTCTGTTGGTCATGGGAGAACTGTGTGCCAAGTTTGGTTCAATTCCATCATTGGTGGGGTTCAGAATGCTCTTTGATTGTAGGTGAACTATAAATCCCAAATGACAAAATCAATTTTTGAGTGAAGGACATACATTGGGTTGTTAGGTGTCTTGTGTCTAAATTTGGTGTCAATTCAACAACTCCCAAATTACAAAATCAATCCTCCCCCAATGTGTTTGCATTGGGTATTTGTGCCCAGTTTGGTCCAGTGAATGAAAATACATCTTGCATACCTGATATTTACATTATGATTTATAACAGTAGTAAAATGAGTGTTATGAAGTAGCAATAAAAACAATGTTATGGTTGGGGGTCACCACAACACGAGGGACTGTATTAAGGGCATTAGGAAGGTGGAGAACCATTGTAGTAGAGGATAAAGACAATAATAATAATAATAATAATATCAGCAGTACTGGAGCCTGCGTGTTTATCTCTTTCTCTGAAAACAGATCACAGAACATTTCCAAAGTTCAAAAAGGATGATTTGTGAGACCTGCAGGGTCCGGCGTGGTCGGCGAGCAGCCCGTTTTCGACAACGTCCGTCCAGAACAGCTCAAAGCGGCCTTCCTGAAGGGCCACCTTCATCAAGTCCAAGCCGACGGTTGGAAGGCCCCGATCCTTGCGTTCGGTCTTGGCCGCCATTTTCAACACCTCCACCAATCTCGAGGGAAGAACCAAAGAAAGAGTAAGTCTGAGCCTCTTTGCTTAGATGGAGAAATAAAGCTCACAGCTGAGAGCGCTGTGCAACTAGCCGACCACAGATCTGGACCAAAATTGGCACTAAATATGGACAAGTTTGAATACAGGTTATAAAGACACTTGCATTTTGCCATCAAGCCTTCTTCTTCTTCTTCTTCTTCTTGTTATTATTATTATTATTATTATTAAGACACTTGCATTGTGCCATCAAGCCTTATTATTATTATTATTATTATTAAGACACTTGCATTTTGCCATCAAGCCTTATTATTATTATTATTACTATTATTATTATTAAGACACTTGCATTTTGCCATCAAGCCTTATTATTACTATTATTATTACTATTATTATTATTATTATTATTAAGACACTTGCATTTTGCCATCAAGCCTTATTATTATTATTATTACTATTATTATTATTATTATTAAGACACTTGCATTTTGCCATCAAGCCTTATTATTATTATTATTATTATTATAAAGACACTTGCATTTTGCCATCAAGCCTTATTATTATTATTATTATTATTATTATTATAAAGACATTTGCATTTTGCCATCAAGCCTTATTATTACTATTACTATTATTATTATTATTATAAAGACACTTGCATTTTGCCATCAAGCCTTATTATTATTATTATTATTAAGACATTTGCATTTTGCCATCAAGCCTTATTATTACTATTACTATTATTATTATTATTATTATTATAAAGACATTTGCATTTTGCCATCAAGCCTTATTATTACTATTACTATTATTATTATTATTATAAAGACACTTGCATTTTGTCTTCAAACCTTACTATTATTATTATTATAAAGACACTTGCATTTTGCCATCAAGCCTTATTATTATTATTATTATAAAGACATTTGCATTTTGCCATCAAGCCTTATTATTACTATTACTATTATTATTATTATTATAAAGACACTTGCATTTTGTCTTCAAGCCTTATTATTACTATTACTATTATTATTATAAAGACACTTGCATTTTGCCATCAAGCCTTATTATTATTATTATTACTATTATTATTATTAAGACACTTGCATTTTGCCATCAAGCCTTATTATTACTATTATTATTACTATTATTATTATTATTATTATTAAGACACTTGCATTTTGCCATCAAGCCTTATTATTATTATTATTATTATTATTATTATTATTTATTATTATTATTATTAAGACACTTGCATTTTCACATCAAGCCTTATTATTATTATTATTATTATTAATAAGACACTTGCATTTTGCCATCAAACATTATTATTATTATTATTATTATTATTATTATTACTACTACTACTACTATTATTATTATAAAAACATGCATTTTGCCATCAAGCCTTATTATTATTATTATTATTATTATTATTATTATTATTATTATTATGACCCTTGCATTTTGCCATCAAGCCTTTGGAAGCTTCAGTGCTTTATGCTTGTTGATGTTTTTTGAGTCTTCTCTTTCCGACTTACCGGGGAATATTCTCCTCGGTGACGACAGCCGACGTGCCCAGGAGCGCCTTCAGCTTTTCTGGACCCAGGACCCTTGGGAACTTCTGGATGCCCACCAGCAAGAGATACAGCTGCCCCGGGGTGCTGAAAGCAGCGCTGAGCTCATCTTCCAAGATACCAAAGAGCACCTCTTCGAACACGGTTTCCGGGATCTAAGAGCAGAGAGGCAGAAGTGAGCCACTTCCTTGAATTCCCAGGCTGGGGAAAAAGGCAGGATGCCTCTCCGAAAGAGCTAAAGGCCTCTGGGACTGAGGAAGGGCAGCGTCAACACAGACCAGGATGGACCTACAAAGCAACGCAGTGGCTTTAAGAGGCCTGTAATGTTGCCATTACCTCGGCGACAATGTCCGCCAGTGTCTTGCGGGGGAGATCCTTCAGGTGGGCATGATGCTCAGAAAGGCTTTGGAGGAGCTGGACGCACTCGGAGAGGGCCTTGGGCTCCTAAACAAGAGAAAAACATTGTAATTTATATTATTTTCTATTGCTTTGTATTGTTTGTTTATTGCTTTTCTGTTTTGATGTGTTATTGGGCTTGGCCTCATGTAAGCTGCTCCAAGTCCCTTGAGGAGATGGTGGTGGGGTATAAATAAAGTATTATTATTATTATTATTATTATTATTATACTAGCTGTCCCCTGCCACACGTTGCTGTGGCCCAGTCTGGTGATCTGGAAAATAAAGTAATGAGAAAGTGTTGGTTTCTCATATATGTAATTCCTTTATGCTTGTGGGTAAACAGTATTTCTTGTTGTTTCTTTGTCAGTGTTGATGTGGAGAGTGTCTGGTTTGCTCACCCTGGAACATGCAACATATACTTGTCCTTCTTTAAGGGTCTCTTTCAAATCTGTGATACTATATCTGTGTGTGTATGAGAATCATATCTATCTATCTATATTTATGACTGGATGGCTCTCTGTCAGGAGGGCTCTGATTCCATTTTCTTGCCCTGGTGAAGGGAGTTGGACTGGATGGCCTTAAGTATTTTCTGTTGGTCATGGGGGTTCTGTGTAGGAAGTTTGCCCCATTTCTGTCGTTTGTGGGTTTCAGAATGCTCTTTAATTGTAGTGAACTATAAATCCCAGTAACTACAAATCCCAAATGTCAAGGTCTATTTCCTCCAAACTCCATCTGTGTTCATATTTAGGCATATGGAATTTTTGTGTCAAGTTTGGTCCAGATCCATCATTGTTTGAGTCCACAGTGCTCTCTGGATGTAGGTGAACTACAACTCCCAAACTCAAGGTCAATGCCCACCAAACCCTTCCAGTGTTTCTGTTGGTCATGGGAGTACCATATGCCATGTTTGGTTCAATTCCATCATTGGTGGAGTTCAGAAGGCTCTTTGATTGTAGGTGAACTATAAATCCCAGCAACTACAACTCCCAAATGTCAAGTTCTATTTTCTCCAAACTCCACCTGTGTTCACATTTGGGCATATTGAGTATTCGTGCCAAGTTTGGTCCAGATCCATCATTGTTTGAGTCCACAGTGCTCTCTGGATGTAGGTGAACTACAACTTCTAAACTCAAGGTCAATGCCCACCAAACCCTCCCAGTGTGTTCTGTTGGTCATGGAAGTCCTGTATGCCATGTTTGGTTGAATTCCATCATTGGTGGAGTTCAGAATGCTCTTTGATTGTAGGTGAACTATAAATCCCAGTAACTACAACTCCCAAATGTCAAGGTCTATTTTCCCCAAACTCCATCTGTGTTCATATTTGGGCATATGGAATATTCGTGCCAAGTTTGGTCCAGATCCATCATTGTTTGAGTCCACAGTGCTCTCTGGATGTAGGTGAACTACAATTCCCAAACTCAAGGTCAATGTCCACCAAACCTTTCCGGCATTTTCTGTTGGTCATGGGAGTTCTGTGTGCCAAATTGGGTTCAATTTCATCGTTGTTGGAGTTCAGAATGCTCTTTGATTGTAGGTGAACCATAAATCCCAGCAACTACAACATTCCTGGATGCAAAGACAAACCTATAATTGCACACAAAAGATCCAGAAATTTAAGGGACCTTTTGATCCATTCTGAATATAACTCTCCTACTACATCCCACAATCTTACCACTAGGGGTCACACTAGCTGTGGACACTGTAACTGTTGTCAACAATCACTCAAGATTAAAATATACTCTCATCCAACACTTAACATCAAGATTACCTTGCAACATTTAACAACATGTTCCACTGATAATGTAATTTACCTATTAGAATGCTCCTGCAAGCTATTATATGTTGGAATGACTACTAGACCCCTTAAAACCAGGATAAATGAACATCGTTCACGCATAAGGAATGGGTCCACTGACTCTTCACTATATGTACATTTCAATGAAAAAGCTCATACACACCATAGCTTTAAATTTTGCGCTTTAGAAAAAATATTACCCAGACCTAATGCAGATGTAAAAAAACTCCTTCTACAAAGAGAATCTTTTTGGATCTTTAAACTACAAACACTGGTTCCACAAGGACTAAATGATAAAATTGAATACACTTGTTTCTTGTGAAATGTAGTTCTACTTAAGAGGTAGCCTAGGTATGACTCATTGCTCGTTATAGAACTCCTCCAGAACAGAGCCTGTACTATTGAAGAGAGTGTAAAGAGAGTGTAAGTAGAGTAGCATGTTTCTTTATTGTTATTATAGAATGTTTCACTAGAAATGTGAATTGGGGAGTTTCATGTATCTATTGTGTATGTTATTTTTACTCCTTTATTTAGTGCATTATATATATGTGATAACATCCTGAAGAAGATAATTTTTCGAAACAAGGAGAACATACCGGGAGACCTTGTAGAAATTGTGAAATTGTGTTACCTAAGGAAGACTCTGCTGCATAAGAAGTACTCCTTAAAGACTGTGTTGCTAAAAGAAGAATTCTTTTGAGGATAAAGACAGAGACTGTTGAATTCCTGCACTGAAATCTGACTCCAGGAAAGGATGGACTTTATTATCTCTAGTCTACTATTCATTACTCTATGTTGATAAGATAACCTACATTTACTTATAATGTGCTGATAACATTACTGTTAAATGCTATAAATGCTATAAAGTCTAGACAATTTACTCCATTAGAGAACATATTACCTTGATTTATATTATTTTCTTGAGAGTCTTATAAAATACACATACATACATTCTTGTTTCTAAACTACAAATCCCAGCAACGGCAATTCCCAAATGATAAAATCAAAACATTTTGGGTGAAGGGCATACATTGTGTTGTTCGGTGTGTGCTGTCCAAATTTGGTGTCAATTCGCCCACTGGTTTTTGAGTTCTATTAATCCCACAAACGAACATTACATTTTTATTTATATAGAAGCAATATAATACTAATAGTAATACAATATAATTATATATTGTATATTACATGTAATATCACTAATAATATTACAGTATAGTGGTATAGTACAATATGGGAATGTATAATAATGCCAATAATGTAATATATTGTATTCACATATAACTTGTAAGCCGCGGAGTCCCCTTTGGGGTGAGAAGGGCGGAATATAAATGTCGTAAACAAACAAATAAATAAAGTCAAATGCTTGCAGTCGGACTTTGCTGAGAGCGTGGTTTCGCTGAGAAAGGACTCCGCTGTAGTTCAGTGGCTTCTGGGACACTCGCTATCCAGAGCGCAGTGGATCAGGGAGGGCGTGAGTCGGAAACTATAAATCATTTCACGAAACCGTCCCGTGACAAGAGTTGCTTGGGAGGCAATGCCAAAAGAACCACCATATTTCACCATATGAAATTTCATCTATGCGGACTACAGTGCCATCACCACTCAAGCAGGGAGCTTTGAAATGGTTGAACTCTACAAATACGTAAACATGTTTGTTTATGTTTATTTATGGTGTTGATTCATACCCTGCTTCCCCCCCCCCCCCCCCCCCCCCCCGGTCGGCTTTACCTTTGCGAGGCGTCCGGACTGGAACAGAGCCAACACTCCAAAGAAGTTTCCAAACAGAGCGTTTCGGAAGAGCTTCTAAAATGACAATTAAAAAAAATATATCAGTTTGGAAACTGGGGGTGGCAACGGCAGTCTTATACTCAAAATGCTTCCAGGACTGTGGGTGAACTACAACTCCCACAATGCCAGGCGATCCCCGAAAAACTCCATCAGTACTTAAAGTTTGTTATGTTGGCCAAGTTTGCTCTCGATGCATCATCGGAGGGGTTTAGTTTACCCTCTGGCTGTAGGGTAAACTACAACTCCCACTTTAAGTACTGAGTTAACCAGGGACCGAAGATCCTGCCTCTTGTCTTACCTTCTTCACTTTGCCAAGGCTGTATTTCTCTTTGATTTCGTCCAGAGCCGAGAGGAGGGAGATCTCCTCGAAACCTTGCAAAACCTAAAGAGAGGGAAGGGAGGAAGGAAGGGAGGAAACACACTTCCTCGTCAGAGCTTTCCGGGAAGCAGCAATCGTCACAGCATAATTGTGGGATTTGGAAGGAAGCAACTGGACAGGGAAATTTCCAATCCAATGAATTGCATTACAACCACAAACCAGGAGTTTAAAACAGGATTTAAACAAAACGTAATTGGGGGACTGACTCAACATGATGGGAGTTGTAGTTCCATCTTGATGCAGAGTGAACTACAACTCCCATCATGTTGAGTCAGTCTCCCAGTTACGCTTTGTTTGCTGTGCACCGTAGGAAAGGGTTAAGCGAGAGGCAGTAGGCGGGGTGATGCAAATTCCATACAAATGGAGAGAGAAAGGAACACTGGGATGTTAAAAATGTAATACAACTGTTCGGTTGCCTGACACGATAAATAAAATACCATATGAAAGGGTTAATGGAGAGGCAGTGACTGGGGTGATGCAAATTCCTCACCAATGGAGAGAGAAAGGAACACTGGGATGTGGCACTCACTATAACAACCCTCTCCACTATGTTCAGTTGCTTCTCAATTTTGCTCTTTGCTGTGTACCAAAGGAAAGAGTAGGAAAGGGTTAAGGGAGAGAGAGCGGGCAGTGTGATGCTAATTCCACACACATGGAGAGAGAAAGGAACACTGGGATGTGGCACTCACTATAACAGCCCCTCTAGTATGTTCAGTTGCTGCTCAATTTTGCTCTCTTTGCTGTGCGCCATAGGAAAGGGTTAAGGGAGAGGCAGTAGGCGGGGGTGATGCAAATTCTACACCAATGGAGAGAGAGAGGAACACTGGGATGCAGGACTCACTATAACAGCTCCCTCCAGTATGTTCAGTTGCAGCCCAATTGCGCTTTCTTTGCTGTGCGCCATAGGAAAGGGTTAAGGGAGAAGCAGTGGGCGGGGTGATGCAAATTCCACACCAATGGAGAGAAAAAGGAACACTGGGATGTACTGCTTACTAATGTCGTTGGAAGGAGGGCCCCTGGTGTCTCCTGAGTGGTCGGATTTAAAGCTGTTTGTGGGGATGGGAGGTTGTCTTTGCAAATGGACACAGATGTATTATTAATAATTATTATCAATTATTATATTAGGTGTATAGATAAAAGATAGATCGATGTTTGTGTGTTCTTGTCTGTGTAATTTAGTAATTTATTGTATGTTTATGTCCACTTGTATTTGACTTGGTTGTACTCCACCTCGAGCCATCACGTGGATAATGAAAAATAAATGCAACGAGTAAATAAATACATTAATAAAGAAATAAATAGCTCCGCACCTGTGCCAAAGCCAAACTGAATCCTGGACGGGACGCCTCTCGCGTGGCTCCCAATCCCACAACCAGGCGCTTTAACGTGTATTTCAACAGGTCGCCATCCTAAAAGAAACAATGCATGGAGACACTGAAGCAAGGCAAAGTTCTCTCTCTCTCAACCTTGCTGCTTTTTTAAATAGAGTGTGCATGGCCATCTGCCAGTAGGGATCAGATGGTGTCTTCCTTTAGGGCTGAATGGGTTTGGACTAGATGGCACTTGAGGCTCTCTTCCAAATCTAGGATATTTTATTATTATTATTATTATTATTATTATTTTTATTATTATTAAGTAGAGGCTGGGCAGCTCTCTGTCAGGAGAGATTGATGATGTCTTCCAACTCTGGCATGCTATTATTATCATGATTATCATGATTATTAAGTAGAGGCTGGGTGGCCCTCTGTTGGGAGGGATCAGGTGGTGTCTTCCAACTCTAGGATGCTATTATCATCATTATGATTAAGTAGAGGCTGGGTGGCCCTCTGTCGGGAGGGATTGGATGGTGTCTTCCAACTCTAGGATGCTATTATTATGATTATTAAGTAGAGGTTGGGTGGTACTCTTTCAGGAGGGATCAGATGGTGTCTTCCAACTCTAGGGTACTATTATTTTTATTATCATGATTATTAAATAGAGGCTGGGTGGCCCTCTGTCGGGAGGGTTCAGATAGTGTCTTCCAACCCCAGGATGCTATTATTATCATGATTATTGAGTATAAGCTGGATGACCCTCTGTTGGGAGGGATCAGATGGTTTCTTCCAACTCTAGAATGCTATTATTATTTAGATGCTGGGTGACCCTCTTTCGGGAGGGATCGGATGATGTCTTCCAACTCTAGGACGCTATTATTATTATCATGATTATTAAGTAGAGAGTGGGTGGTCTTCTGTCGGGAGGGATCAGATGGTGTCTTCCAACTCTAGGATGCTATTATTATTATTATCATGATTATTAAGTAGAGGCTGGGTGTCCCTCTGTCGGGAGGAATCAGATGGTGTCTTCCAACTCTAGGATACTATTATTATCATGACTATTAAGTAGAAGGTGGGTGGCCCTCTGTCGGGAGGAATCAGATGGTGTCTCCCAACTCTAGGATACTATTATTATCATTATTATTGAGTATAGTCTTGGTGGCTGTGACGATGTGTAAGTTTTATTCTTTGGTTATGTGTAGTTTGGACAGTGGTTTAGGGATGGTAAGTATGGGAGATTATATTTTGTTAGAGATGGTGGCTAGTGGCTTGAGCTGAGTTGCCATTGCAACGGGGGTGGAGCCAACTATCACTTCACGGCGCAGCTTTTTGAAAGTGGCAGTCTGTGGCCGGTGAGCTACAGGAAGAGACTGATTTCTCTGGTGGGAGAAACAGGGAATTAGTCAGTACGCCAGCGAGCTACTGAGTGAACTGAATCTTTTGGTGGAGATTCAGGGAATGTGTCTGTAGCCAGTGTGCTATAGGGAAAAACTGAATCTCTTGGAGATTCAGGGAATCAATTGGTGACCAAGGTGGTTGCAGAGAAGGATTATTATTAAGTGGAGTCTGGTTGGCCCTCTGTCGGGAGGGATCAGATGGTGTCTCCCAACTCTAGGATACTATTATTATGATTATTATTAAGTAGAGGCTGGGTGGCCCTCTGTCAGGAGGGATCAGATGGTGTCTTCCAAGTCTAGGATACTATTATTATGATTATTATTAAGTAGAGGCTGGGTGGCCCTCTGTCAGGAGGGATCAGATGGTGTCTTCCAAGTCTAGGATACTATTATTATGATTATGATTAAGTGGAATCTGGGTGGCCCTCTGTCAGGAGGGATCAGATAGTGTCTTCCAATTCTAGGATGCTATTATTATTATCATTATCATTAAGTGGAAGGTGGGTGGCCCTCTGTCGGGAGGGATCAGATGGTGTCTCCCAACTCTAGGATACTATTATTATGATTATGATTAAATAGAGGCTGGGTGGCCCTCTGTGAGGAGGGATCAGATGGTGTCTCCCAACTCTAGGATGCTATTATTATTATTATTATTATTATTATTATCATCATTATTATTAAGTAGACTCTGGGTGGCCATCTGTCAGGAGGGATCAGATGGTGCCTTCCAACTCTAGGATACTATTATCATCACTATTATTAAGTAGAGGCTGGGTGTCCCTCTGTCAGAAGGGATCAAATGGTGTCTCCCAACTTTAGGGTACTATTATTATCATTATGATTAAGTAGAGGATGTGTGTCCCTCTGTTAGGAGGGTTCAAATGGTGTCTCCCAACTCTAGGATACTATTATTATCATTATTATTAAGTAGAGTCTGGGTGGCCCTCTGTCAGGAGGGATCAAATGGTGTCTCCCAACTCTAGGATACTATTATTATCATTATGATTAAGTAGAAGGTGGGTGACCCTCTGTCGGGGGGATCAGATGGTGTCTTCCAACTCTAGGATACTATTATTATGGTTATTATTAAGTGGAGTCTGGGTGGCCCTCTGTCAGGAGGGATCAGATGGTGTCTCCCAACTCTAGGATACTATTATTATGGTTATTATTAAGTGGAGTCTGGGTGGCCCTCTGTCAGGAGGGATCAGATGGTGTCTCCCAACTCTAGGATGCTATTATTATTATTATTATTATTATTATTATCATCATTATTATTAAGTAGACTCTGGGTGGCCATCTGTCAGGAGGGATCAGATGGTGCCTTCCAACTCTAGGATACTATTATCATCACTATTATTAAGTAGAGGCTGGGTGTCCCTCTGTCAGAAGGGATCAAATGGTGTCTCCCAACTTTAGGGTACTATTATTATCATTATGATTAAGTAGAGGATGTGTGTCCCTCTGTTAGGAGGGTTCAAATGGTGTCTCCCAACTCTAGGATACTATTATTATCATTATTATTAAGTAGAGTCTGGGTGGCCCTCTGTCAGGAGGGATCAAATGGTGTCTCCCAACTCTAGGATACTATTATTATCATTATGATTAAGTAGAAGGTGGGTGACCCTCTGTCGGGGGGATCAGATGGTGTCTTCCAACTCTAGGATACTATTATTATGGTTATTATTAAGTGGAGTCTGGGTGGCCCTCTGTCAGGAGGGATCAGATGGTGTCTCCCAACTCTAGGATACTATTATTATGGTTATTATTAAGTGGAGTCTGGGTGTCCCTCTGTCAGGAGGCATCAGATGGTGTCTCCCAACTCTAGGATGCTATTATTATTATTATTATTATTATTAAGTAGAGTCTGGGTGGCCATCTGTGAGGAGGGATCAGATGGTGTCTTCCAACCCCAGGATGCTATTATTATCATGATTATTGAGCATAGGCTGGGTGGCCCTCTGTCAGGAGGGATCAGATGGTGTCTCCCAACTCTAGGATACTATTATTATGATGATTATTAAGTAGTGGCTGGGTGGCCCTCTGTCAGGAGGGATCAGATGGTGTCTCCCAACTCTAGGATACTATTATTATAATTAAGTGGAGTCTGGGTGGCCCTCTGTGAGGAGGGATCAGATGGTGTCTTCCAACTCTAGGATACTATTATTATGATTATTATTAAGTGGAGGGTGGATGGCCCTCTGTAGGGAGGGATCAGATGGTGTCCCCCCTGGTGTCCACGTGGGGGGTTGGACTAGATGCTCTTTGGGGTTCCCTTGGAAGCCGGGAGACTGACCTTCCGCCTCTCCTTGAGGTGTGCCAGGAGTCCCTGTGTCCCCCCCACGCGCCTCTCCTGCTCGGGCCTGGCGATCTCCCAGAAGAAGTCCAGGAACTCCCGGCTTTGGCCCAAGAGCCTCTCGGCCGACGAAGAAGAAGCCTCCGCGCCGCCATTGCTCTCCATGCTTGGGAAAAGGAACCGGATGTCAATTCCCACCTCACGCGCATGCGTATCCGCATCCACTTCTAGGGCAACATCCGGCTCTCGGGTGACACCAATCGGACTCACTTGGTATTGCATGCGGGGAGGTCATTTTGTACTACGATTACCAGAATTCTTTCCTACGGACAGCCTAGGAGTTGCAGTTCCTCCAAGCTGGAGTTGTCCTCTCCCCAATCCTTTCTTTCGCCATAGAATATTAGAGTTGGAAGAGACCTCGTGGGCCATCCAGTCTAACCACATTCCAACAAGACCTACCAACAAAGGATTCCCCAGGCATTCACCACCAAGAAGGAGGAAAACCTCCCAACAAAGGATTCCCCAGGCATTCACCACCAAGAAGCAGGAAAACCTCCCAACAAAGGATTCCCCCAAGCATTCACCACCAAGAAGTAGGAAAACCCAGGAATTCACCATCAAGAAGCATTAAAACCTCCCAACAAAGGATTCCTCCGGGCAGTAAGAAGCCAGGCCTTGTAACTGAAAGGGCATTCACCACCAAGAAGCAGGAAAATCTCCCAATAAAGGATTCCTCCAGGCAGTAAGAAGCCAGGCCTTGAAACTGCAGGACCATTCACCACCAAGAAGCAGGAAAACCTCCCAACAAAGGATTCCCCCAGGCAGTAAGAAGCCAGGCCTGGAAACTGCAAGGGCATTCCCCACCAAGAAGCAGGAAAACCTCCCAACAAAGGATTCCCCCAGGCAGTAAGAAGCCAGGCCTGGAAACTGCAAGGGCATTCCCCACAAGAAGCAGGAAAACCTCCCAACAAAGGATTCCCCCAGGCAGTAAGAAGCCAGGCCTGGAAACTGCAAGGGCATTCCCCACCAAGAAGCAGGAAAACCTCCCAACAAAGGATTCCCCCAGGCAGTAAGAAGCCAGGCCTGGAAACTGCAAGGGCATTCCCCACCAAGAAGCAGGAAAACCTCCCAACAAAGGATTCCCCCAGGCAGTAAGAAGCCAGGCCTGGAAACTGCAAGGGCATTCCCCACCAAGAAGCAGGAAAACCTCCCAACAAAGGATTCCCCCAGGCAGTAAGAAGCCAGGGCAGGAAACTGCAAAGCCATTCACCATCGAGAAGCAAGAAAAGCCCCAACAAAGGATTCCCCAGGCAGAAAGAAGCCAGGCCTTGAAACTAGAAGGACATTCACCACCAAGAATCAGGAAAACCTCCCAACAAAGGATTCCGCCAGGCCTTGAAACTGCAAGGCCATTCACCACCAAGAAGCAGGAAAACCTCCCAACAAAGGATTCCCCCAGGCAGTAAGAAGTCAGGCCTTGAAACTGCAAGGGCATTCACCACCAAGAAGCAGGAAAACCTCCCAACAAAGGATTCCGCCAGGCCTGGAAACTGCAAGGGCATTCGCCACCAAGAAGCAGGAAAACTTCCCAACAAAGGATTCCTCCAGGCAGTAAGAAGCCAGGCCTGGAAACTGCAAGGGCATTCACCATCAAAAAGCAGGAGAACCTCCCAACAAAGGATTCCGCCAGGTCTTGAAACTGCAAGGCCATTCACCACCAAGAAGCAGGAAAACCTCCCAACAAAGGATTCCCCCAGGCAGTAAGAAGCCAGGACATGAAACCGCAAGGGCATTCACTACCAAGAAGCAGGAAAACCTCCCAACAAAGGATTCCCACAGGCATTCGCCACCAAGAAGCAGGAAAACCTCCCAACAAAGGATTCCCCCAGGCAGTAAGAAGGCAGGGCAGGAAACTGCAAAGCCATTCACCATCGAGAAGCAAGAAAAGCCCCAACAAAGGATTCCCCCAGGCAGAAAGAACCAGGCCTTGAAACTAGAAGGACATTCACCACCAAGAAGCAGGAAAATTTCCCAACAAAGGATTCCCCCAGGCAGTAGGAAGCCAGGCCTTGAAACTGCAAGGGCATTCACCACCAAGAATCAGGAAAACTTCCCAACAAAGGATTCCGCCAGGCCTTGAAACTGCAAGGCCATTCACCACCAAGAAGCAGGAAAACCTCCCAACAAAGGATTCCCCAAGGCAGTAAGATGCCAGGCCTTGAGACTGCAAGGCCATTCACCACCAAGAAGCAGGAAAACCTCCCAACAAAGGATTCCGCCAGGTCTTGAAACTGCAAAGCCATTCACCACCAAGAAGCAGGAAAACCTCCCAACAAAGGATTCCCCCAGGCAGTAAGAAGCCAGGCCTTGAAACTGCAAGGGCATTCACCACCAAGAAGCAGGAAAACCTCCCAACAAAGGATTCCGCCAGGCCTGGAAACTGCAAGGGCATTCGCCACCAAGAAGCAGGAAAACTTCCCAACAAAGGATTCCTCCAGGCAGTAAGAAGCCAGGCCTGGAAACTGCAAGGGCATTCACCATCAAAAAGCAGGAGAACCTCCCAACAAAGGATTCCGCCAGGTCTTGAAACTGCAAGGCCATTCACCACCAAGAAGCAGGAAAACCTCCCAACAAAGGATTCCCCCAGGCAGTAAGAAGCCAGGCCTTGAAACTGCAAGGCCATTCACCACCAAGAAGCAGGAAAACCTCCCAACAAAGGATTCCCACAGGCATTCGCCACCAAGAAGCAGGAAAACCTCCCAACAAAGGATTCCCCCAGGCAGTAAGAAGGCAGGGCAGGAAACTGCAAAGCCATTCACCATCGAGAAGCAAGAAAAGCCCCAACAAAGGATTCCCCCAGGCAGAAAGAACCAGGCCTTGAAACTAGAAGGACATTCACCACCAAGAAGCAGGAAAATTTCCCAACAAAGGATTCCCCCAGGCAGTAGGAAGCCAGGCCTTGAAACTGCAAGGGCATTCACCACCAAGAATCAGGAAAACTTCCCAACAAAGGATTCCGCCAGGCCTTGAAACTGCAAGGCCATTCACCACCAAGAAGCAGGAAAACCTCCCAACAAAGGATTCCCCCAGGCAGTAAGAAGCCAGGCCTTGAGACTGCAAGGCCATTCACCACCAAGAAGCAGGAAAACCTCCCAACAAAGGATTCCGCCAGGTCTTGAAACTGCAAAGCCATTCACCACAAAGAAGCAGGAAAACCTCCCAACAAAGGATTCCCCCAGGCAGTAAGAAGCCAGGACATGAAACCGCAAGGGCATTCACCACCAAGAATCAGGAAAACCTCCCAACAAAGGATAACCCCAGGCAGTAAGAAGCCAGGACTTGGAACTGCAAGGGTATTTACCACCAAGAAGCAGGAGAACCCCCAACAAAAGATTCCCCCAGGCAGTAAGAAGCCAGGCCTTGAAACTGCAAGACTATTCACCACCAAGAATCAGGAAAACCTCCCAACAAAGGATTCCGCCAGGCCTTGAAACTGCAAGGCCATTCACCACCAAAAAGCAGGAAAAACCCCGACAAAGGATTCCCCCAGGCAGTAAGAAGCCAGGACTTGGAACTGCAAGGGTATTCACCACCAAGAAGCAGGAAAACCTCCCAACAATGAATTCCCCAGGAAGTTAGAAGCCAGGCCTTGAAACTACAAGGACATTCACCACCAAGAAGCATTAAAACCTCCCAACAAAGGATTCCCCAAGGCAGTAAAAAGCCAGGACTTGAAACTGCAAAGCCATTCACCACCAAGAAGCAGGAAAACCTCCCAACAAAGGATTCCCCAGGGCAGTAAGAAGCCAGGACTTGAAACTGCAAGGGCACTCACCACCAAGAAGCAGGAAAACCTCCCAACAAAGGATTCCCCCAGGCAGTAAGAAGCCAGGACTTGAAACTGCAAGGGCATTCACCACCAAGAAGCAGGAAAACCTCCCAACAAAGGATTCCCCCAGGCAGTAAGAAGCCAGCCCTTGAAACCACAAGGACATTCACCAGCCTGGAAAACCCACATAAACCTTGCATTCGAAGCACCCCTGACAGGTGGCCGTGCAGCCTATTTCAAATCTTCAAAGCACCCCCGACAGATGGCCACCCAGCCTCTGTTTCAAATCCTCAAAGATGGAGCCTCCATCACACTCCAGTGCAGAGAATTCCACTGCTGAACAGCTCTCACTGTTAGGAAGTTCTTCCTAATTTGTTTAGCCAAGTGGCCTTTACATATCTGGAGATTCTACCTGAACACATTCGGAAGAACTTCCTAACAGTGAGAGCTGTTCAGCAGTGGAACTCTCTGCCCTGGGAGTGTGATGGAGGGCCAGCTAACACTTCCCCTGATTATAATTAATACTAATAGTGTGCCATGCTAATAATATAATATATTGTATATACATATAATATTGATCATAATGTTATTATATAAAACAATATAAATCAATATAATAATATCATAACTGTAAATTACCTGTAATATTACCAATAATATTGCAGTATAGGACTATATAGTAATATATAATACTAATAGTGTGCTATACTAACACCTCCCAACAAAGGATTCCTCCAGGAAGGGAGAAGCCGGGTTTTGAAGCTGCAAGGCTTAGCAATGGTAATCAAGCGGCACTGAGTCCCTTGGGGAGATGGTAGTGAGGTCGCACTTGCCTCCAACAGACAAGAGTTCTTTCTCCCACCCTGGACATCATTCCAGAGATATATACACCTCACTTGCCTAGTTTCCAACAGACCTCACAACCTCTGGGGGTGCCTGCCCTAGATGTGAGTGAAACGTCAGGAGAGAATGCTTCTGGAACATGGTCAGACAGCCCAGAAAACTCACAACAACCTTGCATTCAAAGCACCCCCGACAGATGACCACCCACCCTCTGTTTCAAATCTTCAAAGGAGCTTCCATCACACTCCCAGGGCAGAGAGTTCCACTGTTGAACAGCTCTCACTGTTAGGAAGTTCTTCGTAATGTGTTTTTAAATGCTGTGTGTTACTGTTTTTTGTTTATTGCTTATTTTTGTTTGTGTGATTTATAGTAATTGTTTTTGTTAATTGCATTTGTTTCTGTAAGCCGCACCGAGTCCCTTGGGGAGATGGTAGTGAGGTATAAATAAAGTTTTTATTATTATTATTATTATTATTATTATTATTATTATTATTTAGCCAAGTGGGCTTTACATATATAGAGATTCCACCTGAATACATCTGTGGAATGATGTCCAGGGTGGGAGAAAGAACTCTTGTCTGTTGGAGGCAAGTGTGACTGTTGCCATTGGCCAGCTTGATTACCATTGCAAAGCCTTGCAGCTTCAAAGCCTGGCTTCTTCCTTCCTGGGGGAATCCTTTGTTGGGAGGTGTTAGTATAGCACACTATTAGTATTATACATATTACTATATTGCAACAGTCACACTTGCCTCCAACAGACAAGAGTTCTTTCTCCCACCCTGGACATCATTCCACAGGTATATACTCCTCACTTGCCTACTTTCCAACAGACCCCTCAACCTCTGAGGATGCCTGCCCTAGATGTAGGTGAAACGTCAGGAGAGAATGCTTCTGGAACATGATCAGACAGCCCAGAAAACTCACAACAACCTTGCAAAGGAGCTTCCATCACAGTCCCAGTGCAGAGAGTTCCACTGCTGAACAGCTCTCACAGTTAGGAAGTTCTTCCTAATGTGTTTAGCCAAGTGGGCTTTACATATCTGGAGATGCCACCTAAATTATATATAAATAATTATTACATTTGACTAGAACATTATACTGTAATATTATTAGTAATATTAAGTTTTATATAAGATACCATATAAGATACGTAATTATAATACCATTTTATTATTATTATTATTATTATTATTATTATTAGTAGTAGTAGTAGTAGTAATAGTATAATGTATTACATTAGCCAYGTGGGCTTTCCATATCTGGAGATTCCACCRGCACACATTAGGAAGAACTTCCTAACAGTGAGAGCTGTTCAGCAGTGGAACTCTCTGCCCTGGGAGTGTGATGGAGGCTCCTTTCTTTGAAGATTTGAAATCCAACAGASCTCACAACCTCTGAGGATGCCTGCCCTAGATGTGGGCGAAACYTCAGGAGAGAATGCTTCTAGAACATGATCAGACAGCCCAGAAAACTCACAACAACCTTGCATTCAAAGCACCCCGGACAGATTGCCACCCACCCTCTGTTTCAAAGTCTCAAAGGAGCTTCCATCACACCCCCAGGGCAGGGAGTTCCACTGCTGAACAGCTCTCACTGTTAGGAAGTTCTTTCTAATGTTTTTAGCCAAGTGGGCTTTACATATCTGGAGATTCCACCTGAACACACATATATATATTATATATTAAATTGTACTATAACATTATACTGTAATATTATTAGCAATATTACATTTAATAGAAGACATTAAATTTCGAGATATATAATTATAATATAATTTTATTAGTAGTAGTTTTGTTTTGGCTTTTTAAGTCCCTTCTGCTATGAGTGAAGGACATACATTGGATTGTTTCATTAGCCTAGTGGGCCTTACATATCTGGAGATTCCACCTGCACACATTAGGAAAAACTTCCTAACAGTGAGAGCTGTTCAGCAGTGGAACTCTCTGCCCTGGGAGTGTGATGGAGTAATACTGCAGTATAGGACAATATAGTAATATATAATACTACTATTGTGAGTCGCCTTCGGGCTTGAGATACAGCGGTATATAAGCAAAGTAAAGTAAATAAATAATACTAATAGTGTGCTATACTAACACCTCCCAACAAAGGATTCCCCAAGGAAGGAAGAAGCCAGGCTTTGAAGCTGCAACGCTTTGCAATGGTGATCAAGCTGGCCAATGGCAACAGTCACACTTGCCTCCGACAGACAAGAGTTCTTTCTCCCACCCTGGACATCATTTCACAGATATATACTCCTCACTTGCCTTAATATAAGACATTAAATTATAATATAACTTTATTAGTAGTAGTAGCATAATGTATTACATTAGCCAAGTGGGCTTTCCATATCTGGAGATTCCACCTGCACACATTAGGAAGAACTTCCTAACAGTGAGAGCTGTTCAGCAGTGGAACTCTCTGCCCTGGGAGTGTGAGGGTGGCTCCTTTCTTTGAAGATTTGAAATCCAACAGACCTCACAACCTCTGAGGATGCCTGCCTTATATACACCTCACTTGCCTAGTTTCAAACAGACCCCTCAACCTCTGAGGATGCCTGCCCTAGATGTGGGCGGAACGTCAGGAGTGAATGCTTCTACATACAGAATGGGAAAACACACATTTTTTTTTGGAGACAGGCACGCCGCGGGCAGCCCCAAGTTGGGTCCGACTGCGCAGGCGCAAAGGTCCGCTTCGCTTCAGGCAGCGCGGCGGGCAGCCCTGGGCGCGTGGCCCGCTATATAAGCGTGCGCGGGGTCCTGCGGCGCTCGCTCGCGCTCGGGGAGGCTGAGGCGACGGAAGGAGGAGGAGCAGCAGCAGCAGCAGCCATGGCGGATTTCGACTCCTACGACGACCGGGCCTACAGCAGCTTCGGAGGCGGGCGCGGGTGAGCCAGGGCGGGTGTCTCTTCCGAGGCAGAGCGGGAGGCGCCTGGGGCGGGGAGGCCTCCACGCGAGAGCGGGGATTGTGATGCTGGAGGCCTCACCCCCCCACAAGGCCTTCGGGCCTACTCGCCTCAAGGCCAGCCTTTGCCGTGGGAATGGACGCCTTTGGGCACGCCTCCCCGTTCTTGGGGTGGCTCCCTGGGCCCTCCCACACAGACAGAGCACCATCTAGAGACACACAAATGTCACACTCCTTTGTGGGGTGAACACAACTCACAAACCACTGGGGGAATTGACACCACATTTGGACACAAGGCACCTAACAGTCCAATGTATGTCCTTCACTCAAAAAGACACAGAAAAACACAGCAGAAGGAACTTAAAAAGCCAAAACAAAACACCCCAAAATTACACTGCGTGTGCAAAACCATATATACATACATACATACATATATATATGCAAGCACACATATATACACACATATATGCATATACACACACAAAACACATACACAGAAAGGGGGAAGGAAGGAGGGAAAGAAGGAGAGAAGGAAGGAAAGAAAGAAAGGGTAGAGAAAGAAGAAAGGAGAGAAAGAGGGAAAGAAGGAGGGAAGGAGAGAAAGAGGGAAAGAAAGAAGGGTAGAGAAGGAAGGAAGGGGAGAGGAGGGAGAGAAAGAGGGAAAGAAGGAGGGAAGGGGAAGGAAGAAGAAAGAGAGGAGGAGGGAAAGAAGGAGGGAAGGAGAGGAAGGAAGATAGAGAAGGAGGGAGAGAAAGAGGGAAATAAATAGGGAAAGAAGGAAAGAAAGGAAGATGGTGAAGGAGGGAGGGAAGGTTTGCCACAGCAACGCATGGCAGGTACAGCTAGTCAATAGAAATAAAAATGTAATGTTTGTTTGTGGGATTAAGACAACTTACAAACCACTGGGGGAATTGACACCACATTTGGACACAAGACATCTAACAACCCAATGCATGTTCTTCAGTCAAAAAGACACAGTAAAACACAGCAGAAGGGACTTTAAAAGCCAAAACAAAACACCCCAAAATTACAACGCATGTGCAAAACCACACACACACACACACACATATATATACACACAAACACACAACTCAAAAACCATTGGGGGAATTGACACCACATTTGGACACAAGGAACCTCTCAGGCCAACGACTGACCATCACTCATAGAAACACAGAAAAACATAGCAGAAGGGACTTAAAAAGCCAAAACAAAACACCCCAAAATTACAACGCATGTGCAAAACCACATATAGATACACAAACACAACGCATGTGCAAAACCATATATATATATACACACACAAACACACATATATGCATATACACACACAAAATACATACACAGAAAGGGGGAGGGAAGGAAGGAAAGAAAGAAGGAGGGAGAGAAAGAGGGAAATACAAATGTCACGTTCGTTTGTGGGATGAACACAACTCAACAACCACTGGGGGGATTGACACCACATTTGGACACAAGGCACCCAACAGTCCAATGTATGTCCTTCACTCAAAAAGACACAGAAATTACACCCCAAAATTATAACGCATGTGTAAAACCACATATATATATATATATATATATATATATATACACACACACACAAACACACATATATATACACACATATATGCATATATACACACAAAACACATACACAGAAAGGGGGAAGGAAGGAGAAGGAGAGAAGGAAGGAGAAGGAGGGAGAGAAAGAGGGAAAGAAGGAGGGAAGAGAAAAAAAGAAAGGAAGATAGAGAAGAGGGAGAGAAGGAGGAAAGAGGGAAGGAGGAAGGAAAGGTAGAGAAGGAAGGAAGGGAAGAGGAAGAGAGGAAAGGAAGGAGGAGGGAAGGAAGAGAAGAGAAGAAAGGAAGGAGAGGAAAAGGGAAGAAGGAGGGAAGGAAAAGAAAGAAGGAGAGAAGGAAGGAAGGGAGAGAGAGGGAGGAAAGAGAAGAGAAGGAAGGAAAGAAAGAAAGAGAAGGAAGGAAGGAGAAAAGGAGGGAGAGAAAGAGGGAAAGAAAGAGGGAAGGAGAGAAAGAAGGAAAGAAAGATAGAGAAGGAAGGAAGGAGAGGAGGGAAGGAGAGAAAGAAGGAAAGAAAGAAAGAGAAGGAAGGAGGGAGAAAAATAGGGAAAGAAGGAGGGAAGGAAAGAAAGACGGGTAAAGAAAGAAGGAAGGAAGGAGAAAAGGAGGGAGAGAAAGAGGGAAAGAAAGAGGAAAGGAGAGAAAGAAGGAAAGAAAGATAGAGAAGGAAGGAAGGAGAGGAGGGAAGGAGAGAAAGAAGGAAAGAAAGAAAGATAGAGAAGAAAGGAAGGAAGGAGGGAAAGAAATAGGGAAAGAAGGAGAGAGGGAAGGAAAGAAAGAGGTAGAGAAGGAGGGAAGAAGAGAAGGAAGGAAAGAGAGGAGGAGGGGAAGGAGAGAAGGAAAGAAAGGTAGAGAAGGAAGGAAGGAGAGAAGGAAATAAAAAAGTGAAAGAAGGAAGGAAGGAGAGAAGGAACGAAAGGGGGAAAGAGACAAGGAAGGATGAAACCAAACAGCAAAGGAAGCGAGAAAAGAAACAGGTAGAAAAGGGAGAAAGAAAAAGAGGGAGGGAGGGAAGGAGAGAAAGAAAGAAGGAGGAGAAAGAGGGAGGGAAGGTTTGCCACAGCAACGCGTGGCGGGTACAGCTAGTCTATATAAATAAAAATGTCACGTTCGTTTGTGGGATTAACAGAACTCAAAAACCACTAGGCGAATTGACACCAAATTTGGACACAAGACACCTAACAACCCAATTATGTCCTTCACTAAAAAAAATTGATTTTGTCATTTGGGAGTTGTAGTTGCTGGGATTTATAGTTTATTTACAACCAAAGAGCATTCTGAACTCCACCAACTATGGAATTGAACCAAACTTGGCACGCAGTTCTCCCATGACCAACAGAAAATACTGGAAGGGTTTGTGGGCAGTGTCCTTTGGTTTTGGAGTTGTAGTTCATCTACATCCAGAGATCACTGTGGACTCAAACAATGATGGATCTGGACCTAAATCTACACGAATACTCAATATGCCCAAATGTGAACACTGGTAGACTTTGGGGAAAATAAGATCTTGACATTTGGGAGTTGTAGTTGCTGGGATTTATAGTTCAATCACAGAGCATTCTGAACCCCACCAATGATAGAATTGGGCTGAACCTCCCACACAGAACCCCCATGTGGGCCACAGCAAAGCGTGGCAGGGGACGGGTAGTAAATAATAAAAATGTAATGTCCAAATTTGGACACAAGGCACCTAACAACCCAATGTATGTCCTTCACTCAAAAAAACACATAAAAACATAGCAGAAGGGACTTAAAAAGCCAAAACAAAACACCCCAAAATTACAACACATGTGCAAAACCACATATATATACACAAACACACATATATGCATATACACACACAAAACACATACACAGAAAGGGGGAAAGGAGAGAATGAAGGAAAGAAAGAAGGGTAGAGAAAGGAGAAAGGAGAGAAGGAGGGGGAGAAAGGGAAATAAAGAGGAGGAAAAGGAGGAAAGGAGAGAAAGGAAAATAGAGAAAGAAGGAAGGAAGGAGAGAAAGAGGGAAAGAAGGAGGGAAGGAGAGAAAGAAGGGGAGAGAAGGAAGGGGAGAGAAGGGGGAAGGAGAGAAAGAAAGGAAGATAGAGAAAGAGGGAAAGAACAAGGGAAGGAGAGAAGGAAAGGTAGAGAAGGAAGGAAGGGAGAGAGGGAGAGAAAGGGAAAGAAGGAGGGAGAAAGAAGAGAAAGAGAAGAAAGGAAGGAGGAAAAGAAGGAGGGAAGGAAAAGAAGGGAGAGGGGAAAGAAGGAGAGAAGGAAAGAAAGAAAGGTAGAGAAGGAAGGAAAGAAAGAGAGAAGGAAATAAAAAAGTGAAAGAAGGAAGGAAGGAGAGAAGGAACGAAAGAGGAAGGAAGGAAAGAGACAAGGAAGGATGAAACCAAACAGCAAAGGAAGCGAGAAAAGAAACAGGTAGAGAAGGAAGAAAGAAGAAGAGAAAGAAAAAGAGGGAGGGAGGGAAGGAGAGAAAGAAAGGAGGAGGAGAAAGAGGGAAGGAAGGTTTGCCACAGCAACGCGTGGCGGGTACAGCTAGTTTATAGAAATAAAATGTCAGAACATTCTGAACTCCACCAATGATAGTATTGGGCTGAACCTCCCACACAGAACCCCCATGTGGGTCACAGCAACGCGTGGCAGGGGATGGGTAGTAAATAATAAAAATGTAATTTTTGTTTGTGGGATTAACATAACTCAAAAACCACTGGACAAATTGACACCGAATTTGGACACAATACACCTATCGGGCCAACAAGTGACCATCACTCATAAAAAACTGAAAAACACAGCAAAAGAGACTTAAAAAGCAAAAAAAAACCTAACCAAAAAACATTACAATGCATGTGCCAAACCACGTATATACACAAACACACATATATACAAATATATACGCACATATATGCATATATACACACACAAAACACATAACCAGGGGGAAGGCAGGAATGAAAGAGGGAAAGAAGGAGAGTAAGAAGGAACGAAATAAAGGTAGAGAAGGAAATAAAAAAGTGAAAGAACAAAGAAAAGAGAGAAGGAAGCAAGGAGGGAGGGAGGGAAGGATAGAAGGAAAGGGAAAATGGAACCAAAGAGCAAAGGAAGCGAGAAAAGAAACAGCTAGAGAAGGAAGAAAAAAGAAGGGAAAGAAAAAGAGGGAGGGAAGGAAGGAGAGAAAGAAAGGAGAGAAAGAGGGAGGAAAGGTTGGCCACAGCTACCCGTGGCGGGTACAGCTAGTCTATAGAAATAAAAATGTCACGCTCGTTTGTGGGATTAACACAACTCAAAAACCACTGGGGGAATTGACACCAAATTTGGACACAAGACATCTCTCAGGCCAACGAGTGACCATCACTCATAAAAACATGGAAAAACACAGCAAAAGAGACTTAAAAAGCCAAAAAACAAAAAATTACAACACATGTACAAAACCACACATATATAGGCAAACACACATATACACAAATATATGCATCCATATATATATATACACACACATACACATACATACACACACACACACAAAACACATATACACAGACTGAGCCACAGCAATGTGTGGCAGGGGACGGCTAGTCTATATACAGTATATTCTGGCGTATAAGACTACTTTTAAACCCAAGAAAATCTTCTCAAAAGTCAGGGGTCGTCTTATACACGGGTGTAGTCTTATGCATGGGAGTCGTCTTAACTCTATATTTTAACTGGAAATGTTGGGGGTCGTCTTATACGCCCAGTCGCCTTATATGCCGGAATATACAGTAAATAAAAACGTCATGTTCCGTTGTGGGATTAACATATCTCAAAAACCAATGGATGAATTGACACCAAATTTGTACACAAGACACCTAAAAACCCAATGTAGGTTACTCACTCAAAAAAATGGATTTGTAATTTGGGAATTGTAGTTGCTGGGATTTATAGTTAACCCACAATCGAGCATTCTGAACTCCACCAATGATGGAATTGAACCAAACGTGGTACACATGACCAACGGAAAACACTAGAACAGTTATTCTCAACCTGGGGTTCCCAGCTGTTTTTGGCCTTCAACTCCCAGAAATCCTAACAACTGGTAAACTAGATGGTAAACTAGCTGGCCAAAGACATCTGGGGACCCCAGGTTGAGAACCACTGCACTAGAAGGGTTTGGTGGGTATTGGCCTTGAGTTTGGGAGTTGTAGTTCACCTATATCCAGAGAGCACTGTGGAATCAAACAAGGATGGATCTGGATTTGGGAGTTGTAGATACAGGGATTTATAGTTCACTTACAATCAAAGAGCATTCTGAACCCCACCAACGACAGAATTGGGCCAAACTTCCCACACACAACCCCCATTACCAACAGAAAATACTTAAGGCCATCCTGTCCAACTCCCTTCATTAGGACAAGAAAACGTAATCAAAGTCCTCCTGATAAATTGCCATCCAGCCATAGATATCTATATAAATAAAAATGCAATGTTCGTTTGTGGGATTAACCTAACTCAAAAAGCACAGGACAAAATGATACAAAATTTGGCCCACCCACTGTGTTCTATTTCCCTATCATGTTATTTTGTAATTGTTTGTTTTATTTTGTTATTTCATGTATTTACTGTGATGGTATTTTCTGCTGCTTTCTATTTTATTTTGCTGTACTGTCATTTTGGGCTTGGACTCGTGTTAGCCAACCCTAAATTTGGTCAGAAGACACCTAACGGACCAACAAGTGACCTTCACTCATAAAAACACAGTGGAAGGGACTTAAAACCCCTTCAAAACATGCACTGTATCGTTATTTAGTTTTTTGGGGTATTTTATGTCTCTTCCAACTGTGTTTTTCAGTGTTTTTATGAGTGAAGGTCACTTGTTGGTCCGTTAGGTGTCTTCTGGCCAAATTTTGTGTCATTTTGTCCTGTGGTTTTTGAGTTATGTTAATCCCCCAAACAAACATTAAGTTTTTATTTATATAGGTATCTATGGCTGGTTGGCAATTTGTCAGGAGGATTTTGATTACGTTTTCTTGTCCTGATGAAGGGGGTTGGACTGGGTGGCCTTAAGTATTTTCTCTTGGTCATGGGGGTTCTGTGTGGGAAGTTTGCCCCAATTATGTTGTTGGTGGGGTTCCGAATGCTCTTTGATTGTCGGTGAGCTACAAATCCCAGTAAATACAACTCCCAAATGTCAAACTCTATTTCCCCAAACTTCACCTGTGTTCCTTTTTTGGGCATAGTGAGTATTCGTGCCAAGTTTGGTCCAGATCCATCATTGTTTGAGTCCACAGTGCTCTCTGGATGTAGGTGAACTACAACTCCCAAACTCAAGGCCCACCAAACCCTTCCAGTGTTTTCTGTTGGTCATGGGAGTCCTGTGTGCCACGTTTGGTTCAATTCCATCATTGATGGGGTTCGGAATGCTCTTTGATTGTAGGTGAACTATAAATCCCAGCAACTACAACTCCCAAATGACAAAAGCCTTTTTTTTTTTTTGAGTGAAGGACATACATTAGGTTGTTACGTGTCTTGTGTCCAAATTTGGTGTCAATTCGTCCAGTGGTTTTTGAGTTACGTGAATCCCACAAACGAACATTACATTTTTATTTATATACATGACTATCACTTTGTATTTAGCCTGGAAGCAGACCGGCAGCCAGTGGAGCTGCCATAACAGGAGTTGTATACTCCAGTTTGTAACCTGGCTGTTGATCTCTGAGGTAGTTCTAGCTTTGGAACTATCTTCGAAGGCAGTCCCATGTAGAGAGTGTTACAGTCGTCCAGAGGGATGTGACTAAAGCGTGGACAACCATGTTGTATATTTTATTGCCTATGTTTTATTTTTATTGCGTTGTATTGTTGTATTTGGGCTCAGCCTCATGTAAGCCGCACCGAGTCCCTTGGGGAGATGGTAGTGGGGTACAAATAAAGTGTAATAATAATAATAAATTAAAAAAAACATGTCCAGTGTATATATATGTTATCCTTCTGTAAGTAGAGTTTTTGTAAAGCGGAGGAGTAGTTAAATGGGACAGGAAGCATATCACTTCTCCGAAGAACTTGGATTGAATTGGGATTTTTATTGTTGTTGTTTTATGTTCCATGTTGGAATAGCTGGCTTTTCTTATGCATACATAATGCGATAGTTTGGAACAGGACCAGAGTCTAAACGTGAAATGCATTTTGTTTCATATGCACCTGATATGTACAGCCTGCTTTTCCTCACTTTGTCTCAACTGTGTCATCCCTCTCTTGCCACAGGTCTCGCGGCGGTTCTGGCCTTGGCCCCCGTAAACAGAAAGAGCTTCCAACAGAGCCCCCCTTCACTGCATATGTTGGCAACCTTCCCTTCAACACAGTCCAGGGAGACATTGATACCATCTTTAAGGATCTCAGCGTAAGGAGCGTCCGGTTAGTCAGAGACAAAGAGACAGATAAATTTAAAGGTGGGTCTCTCTCTATTTTCTCTTTGTGCGAGGTTTTGCAGCCTTTGTATTGGGCTGAGGGAAGAAAGTGTTGGTTGTGGCTCTGATCCCTTTTATGTCTCCCAAACTTCCAGACCCCATAAAATACGTTATGGCCTGCCTAGCCCAGTGGTTCTCAACCTGTGGGTCCCCAGATGTTTTGGCCTCCCAGAAATCCTAACATCTAGTAAACTGGCTGGGATTTCTGGGAGTTGTAGGCCAAAACACTTGGGGAACCACGGGTTGAGAACCACCGCAATCTAGCCTTACTTAATATGCTTATTCCTTTCCCCCATTTATTCTATCTATCTATCTATCTATCTATCTATCTATCTATCTATCTATCTATCTATCTATCTATCTATCTATCTATCATGTCAGGAGCAACCAGACATTAGTATGACATTTTTAACAAAACAAACAAACAAAACACAAAGTTTTCAAGCCTGGTAGTTGATTAAATGTCCTTTGAGCAGTATCTGGCCACTTGGAGTGCCTCTGGTGTTGCCGCAAGGACGTCCTCCCTTGTGCATGTGGCAGGGCTCAGCCTCTCCGGAAGATCAAAGAGGTTGTGTGGGTTCGTAGCCGACCTGGGAAACCATATTGAGTCAAGTCTAAGCCGAGGGTTCGGGCCCCGCCTATCTTCGCGATCGCATCTCCCTCTATGAACTTTAAGATCTTTCAGGGAGGCCCTCCATTTGTTCCCACCACTGTCACAAGCACGGTTGGTGGGGACAAGAGAGAGGGCCTTCTTGGTGGTGGCCCCCCCGCCTCTGGAACACCCTTCCTGGAGAAAGAAGACAGGTCCCATCCCTCCCCTCCTTTCGTAAGAGCCTGAAGACCTGACTAGTTCTAGCTCTGCCCCAGATACTGTTGAAATTGGCCATATCTTCTTCTACCAATTACTCAAGTCACTTTCTTCTATGAGATCCTGGAAATGGACAGCCATAGACTCTACCTAATTTCCCGGGCCTGCTAAAATCGCACTAGCCCGCCCTTTTCAACTGCCTTGAACAGGCATGATTATTTTAAATATATGTGCTATTGTTGTTTTTAATGCTTATATTGTCTTGATTATGTTACTTGGAAACAGTTCTCAGTCCCCTTGGGGAGTTAGAGCAGTATATAAATAAATATAAATAAAGTTTTGTTGTTGTTGTTTGAGGGTGGGAAATACCGCAGCTACTGATCAATTGCAAAATAAAAATACTTATCAATAAAATTCCATGAATTGAGCCATCCATAGGTTCAATGTTTTTGAATGTTTACATAAAACTGTAATTTAAGATAATACTGCCCAGCACTGGTTACACTATTATTCTAACCTCCTTCAATGTAAATGTGCTTATGTATCCTTCCAATAATAGAGTAAAAATAAATGCAATAAAAATAAAAAAGAATAAAATAATGGAAATGTAATAATAACAGTTATAATAGAGTAAAATAATCAATGTAATAATTACAATAGAGTAAAATAATCAATGTAATAATTATAATAGAGTAAAATAATCAACGTAATATTTATAATAGAGTAAAATAATCAATGTAATATTTATAGTAGAGTAAAATAATCAACGGAATAATTATAAGTAGAATAAAATAATCAACGGAATAATTATAAAAGAGTAAAATAATCAATGGAATAATTATAAATAGAATAAAATACATGTAATAAATAAATAAAAATAATAAAAGTAATAAAAATAATAATAAAGCGAAATTATGGAAATGTAATAACAGTAATAATAGAGTGAAGTAATACATGTAATAATAATAATAATAATAGAGTAAAATGATAAAAGTATTACAAATATTAAGAGTAAGATAATGTAAATGTAATAATAATGGATAGAGTAAAATAATAATAATAATAATAATAGAGACTCCCCGCTTGGAGTCTCAGAAACAGCCCTCCCCTTGACTGAGGGGCCGACCAATCACAGCGGAGGAGGACTTTTGGTGGGAGGATTCACCATCTGTTTCCAAAAAGGAAGAGAAGGACAGGTGAAGAGATCCTCAGCCTTCTCTGCCAAAGGGGTTCCTAAGAGAATCAGAAATATAGGTTTCCTGATGGTGTTTGGTGACCCCCCTGAAATACCCTCGCAACCCCCCAGGTTGAGAAACGCTGGTTTAAGTCTTGATCAAGAGCCAAGGTTTTAATCAATCAATCAATCTTCCTTTTCATTTCTCACCTTCCAGGATTTTGTTATGTAGAGTTTGACGAGGTGGAATCACTTAAAGAAGCTCTGACCTACGATGGAGCAGTAAGTACCCTCTCATTTGGGGCATTTTCGGACGCACAGTATGTTTGCAATTCTCTCTGGCCAGTAGTCAGATCCCTTTCCTTCTTACCCTACAGCTTATGGGCGACCGGTCCCTCCGAGTGGACATCGCCGAGGGCAGGAAGCAAGATAAAGGCGGCTTTGGCTTCAGGAAAGGGGGCGGCCCAGAAGACAGAGGTGAGGGTTGGCTTGGTTGCTTCTTCTGATTTCTGTCACTGTAAATAATAATATAAATAATAATAATGTATTATTGTCGTTATAATTTTATGTGACTTGTTTTATATTTTCGTACCATTTTTACTGGTTGTGTGTTATATGTGCACCCTGGAGTGCTTTGTAAGCCGCCTCGAGTCGGTGGAGGGATATAAATAAAGCGACAATTTTTATGCTTATATTTTGTTAATCTTATGGTTATGTTGTTTTTTACTTTGTATGTTTTGTGATGTTACCTGGGAACCGCTCTGAGTCCCCTCGAGGAGATGGAGCGGTATATAAATAAAATTATTATTATTATTATTATTATTATTATTATTAGAATGGAGGTGGAGTGACACTGAGCAAGTGAGATTTGTGAACTTCGAGGCCTACTTAGAACTTCGAGGCCTACCAATTCATCCAGACATACAATGGTGGCTTGTGAAGCAGTCTGAAGTCTTATTATACAGGGAGAAATCTACTTCTGTCTGTAGGTGGCTCTCTGTCCGTACTCTGAAGCTGGCTAGCAGAGCTGACTAGGCTGCTGATCAGAAGCAATCCATGCTTGTTTTGCAGCTGAGCAACACTCAGGCTGGGAAAAAAAGGCATTAGTAAACCAGCTAGAGATCTACTCTTAGATCTGCTCCTAAGTTTGGTTATGAGTCTTCTCCCTTGTACACAAAGGCAGTGAATTAAGTTCAAATCCCCTCTCCCACTGCTCATTTGTGGAAGGTGAACGAATTCCCAAAATATAGGGTGCCGTTTCATCTATTAGGTATGGCTGTGAAGAATTCAGCTTAATACAGTGGTTGAATCCAGAGGCCACAGTTTGTTTATTTATTTACTTATTTACAGTATTGATATTCCGCCCTTCTCACCCCACAGGGGACTCAGGGCGGATTACAATGTACACATATATGGCAAACATTCAATGCCAAAGACACACAACAGATATAAACAGTCAGAGGCTATTTAACTTTTCTGGCTGCCAGGGGAGCTGTCACTTTCATCGTCCATCTGTGACACTGATGGAGTACTTCCACATTCCCCGCATGCTTTTGCTGGAGTCTTTTTTTATGGCCTCGTAAATTAGTTAAATTAGCCTCCCCACACATAGGTGGTACCTAATTTTCCTACTTGACAGATGCAACTGTCTTTTGGGTTGCAAAGGTCGACAACAAGCTACACAATTGGTCGGAAGCTCACTCTGTCCCGGTCTGGCTTCGAACTTACAATCTTTTGGTCAGAAGTTATGTCTATTTATTTATAATTCAAACTTCTATGCCGCCACTCCCCTGGGGCTCGGAGCGGCTTACAAGAACAGGCTAAAATCTAACACAATTTAAAAACAATTTAAAAACAATTTAAAAACAACAATATCAGAGATCAAAGGCCTAATGCAGCTGACACTCAGCCAGCTGCGCCACAGTCCGGGTTCATAGTATATTTACAGTATTTATATTCCGCTCTTCTCATCCTGAAGGTGAGAACACACACACACACATAGTGAACATGCAATTTTTGGACATACAAGACAGACAGAGGTATTTCGGCATTTTCCAGCTTCAGCGCCTGGAGGTTAAGCTCGATTCCGGCCATAGGGGTGTGCTGTCACTCTGTCTGCTGCGACAACAAGCGTAGTATTTCCCTCCTTGTTGTTTGATCGCCGGCATTTTATGGTGCCTAATTTCTCTACTTGCCGCTCAGCTATTTTCAAATTGTTTAGGTCAACAGTGAGCTTAGGCTAACAGTTCGGTGCTCAATCCAACTTGGGCTTCGAACATGCCACCTTCTGATTGGCAGTTGCTGCTGGCGACTAACCAGTTGTGTTACAGCCTGGCCCAGTTGTCTGACAGTGTTTGCAACTCACGCCGCCATTTTGGGATTGCTTACTACTTGTGTGTCTGATTCCGCTCGCAAGATTTGGCTTCAAAACAGCCATTAAAATACATGGCTGTGTGGCTCCCGTATTTAAAGGTGGCTCCCTTTCCTCCATAATATCACAGCCTTGTGTCATCACTGTGGGACCTTCTGGCCCTTCCCGCCCTCCCCAGTTGACCCATGCTTGCAATGCTTGCTTTCGTTCTAGGCATGGGCGGCGGTCCGCGGGAATCGCGAGGAGGCGGATGGGATTCCAGAGATGACTTCAATTCTGGTAGCAGTATTTTCTCCTTTTTTGTATTACTCAGGTGTTTCCTCTCAGTCTCTTCTTTTCCCTCCTTCAGATGTGCCTCTCATGCGTGGGTGGGGGTCCCCCCCCCCCCCCCCCCCCCCCCCGCAAAGTGGCGTTCCTAAACTCTTGTTTTGGCTCTTTTTTACCTTTTCACCATCATGTTTTTGTTCTGTCAGCATTGGCTCGAGACATCATTCTAGGACTTCTAGCCATCTTGTGCTTCTTTGACTGTGTTGCTAAATGTCCTTTGACCAGAAGATCCTCCATTGCGTGTGTGGCAGTGCTCAGGTTGCATTGTAGTAGGTGGTCTGTGGTTTGCTCTTCTCCGCACTCGCATGTTGTGGACTCCACTTTGTGGCCCCATTTGTTACGGTTGGCTCTGCATCACGTGGTGCCAGAGCACAGTTTGTTCAGCACCTTCCAAGTCGCCCAGTCTTCTGTGTGCCCAGGTTGGAGTCTCTCATTCGTTCTCAGCCACTGATTTAGGTTCCGCGTTTTATCCTGCCACTTTTGGACTTTGGCTTGCTGAGGTGTTCCTAAAAGTATCTCTGTAGATCTTAGGAAGCTGTTTCTTGCTTTAAGGCATTGGCACACTGGCTGATATCCGAACAGAGGATGGGCCGGAGATGTCACTGCTTCGGTCTTTTCATTACAGGCTGCTACTTCCTGGCAGATGTCAGGCAACCAGCAAAACAGTGTAATTTCTCCACTGATGGGGTCATAGGCATCCTGTGATAATGTGGAATGTCTCATTAAGAGCCACGTCCACTGTTTTAACATGGTGAGATGTGTTCCATCCTGGGCATGCGTATACAGTAGCAAAGTGGAAGGACAGATATCTTCACTGTGTCTAGTTGTGATCCCCAGGTTGTGCCAGTCAGCTTTTGTACGATATTATTTCTAGCACCCACTTTTATGCTTGATATTCAAGCAGTGTTTCCTCTAAGTCAGAGCACAGGCCAGACTGACTCCCAGGTATCCAGTGGGATTCCTTCCCAGGTGTAATCCTCAGAGTTCAAGATGCTTGTCTGTTCTGAAGGTGAAAAGCACACGTCTGTGTTTTAGATGGATTAGGAATCAGCTGGTTTCCCCTGAAATAGGCAGTAAGAGCACCTAAAGCTTTGGAGAGCCTCTGTTCAACCATTTCAAAGCTCCCTGCTTGAGTGGTGATGGCACGATCATCAGCATAGATGAAACTTAGATGGATTAGGAATCAGCTGATTTTCCCTGTCATAGGCAGTAAGAGCACTGAAAGCTTTGGAGAGCTTCTGTTCAACCATTTCCAAGCTCCCTGCTTGAGTGGTGATGGCACAATCATAAGCATAGATGAAACTTAGATGGATTAGAAATCAGCTGGTTTTCCCTGTAATGGGCAATAAGAGCACCTAAAGCTTTGGAGAGCTTCTGTTCAACCATTTCAAAGTCCCCTGCTTGTGCGGTGATGGCACGATCATCAGCATAGATGAATCTCTCTGTCCCTTCTGGCAGTGGCTGGTCATTTGAGTAAATGTTGAACATTGATGCAGGCCATTCTTCTGCTTCTCTGGCCCTGGAACTCCCGTAAAACCCACAAAGTTTGAAAACTCAAATGCTTGGGCGGTGATGGCATGATAGTCAGCATAGATAATTTCCTCAGAAGTCGAGATGTTTGTCTGTTCTGAAGGTGAAAAGCACACGTCTGGATTTTAGATGGTTTAGGAATCAGCTGGTTTCCCCTGTAATAGGCAGTTCGAGCACCTAAAGCTTTGGAGAGCTTCTGTTCAACCATTTCAAAGTCCTGTGCTTGGGCGGTGATGGCACGATCGTCATCGTAGATGAAACTCTGTCCCTTCTGGGAGTGGCGGGCCATTTGTGTAAACGTTAAACATGGATGGAGCAAGCATGTTTCCCTGAGGCAGGCTGTTCTTCTGCTTCTCTGGCCCTGGAACTCAACAAAAAAGCTCCTGTTTTGTAGCAGATTTCCTATGAAGCGGGTGAGGTGGTCATCCTGTGTGATACTATAAATTTTTCTCAGGAGAAGGCGATTTATAGTATCATATGCTGCTGACAGGTCTGTAATCTGCTTCCTTTCTATGTGCTGAGTTAGGTTCAGCATTTGCGATGTGCAGCTTATGCCTTTCCTGAAACCAACTTGCTGTGGAATCCTACATGTTGTGCTATTAGGTCTTTGTTTTGTTTCCACATCGTGTTCACCCATGTTGTTTTCATTCTTGTTTCATTCTTTCTCTTATGAAATAAATTCTACTTGCCTCCTTGCTAGCCTGTTGCTCTTAACCCTTTGGTGTCTTGGGATCCTCAGGGCTTGGCTTGGCCCTCCAAGAGCAAATGCAGCCCAGGGTTCCAGAGGCGCCCCACTGACTCCTGTTGCCCGCTGTCTTCCTCTTAAGCAGGCTTCAGGGATGACGACTTCCTGGGAGGCCGAGGACGGACGCGTCCCGGGGACCGGCGAGGAGGCGCCCCACCCATGGGAGGCACCGGACGCTTCCGAGAGGGACCTCCCATGCGTGGGTCGGGTATGGACTTCAGAGAGCCCACAGAAGGTGAGTTCGACGTCCTCTTTCCCCTCTTTATGTTGTGAGACTTTGAGCATTTGTAGTTGGGGAAAATTAGGACAGGATCCATCCTCAAGTGGCCACAGATGAGGTTGGTTCTGTGGGTTTGTTCTTAAGTTCATTATTATTATTATTATTATTATTATTATTATTATTATTATTATTATTAAAAGTTCAGTGTTTGATGTTTTGTCTTCTGTCTAACAGGCTGTGCTTTTTATTTAATATTATTTAAGTTATAATTCATGTTTATATGTTGGTTTGTATAAATTTTGCTAGTATGGATGTATTGTTGTTGTATTCAGGCATTTATTATTATTATTATTAATTATTGAAAGTTCAGTGTTTGATGTTTTGTCTTCTGTCTAACAGGCTGTGCTTTTTATTTAATATTATTTAAGTTATAATTCGTGTTTATATGTTGGGTTGTGTAAATTTTGCTAGTATGGATGTATTGTTGTTGTATTCGGACATTGAGGTTGCCTTTTATGTTTGGAATCCGCCCTGAGTTGCTTTGGAGGAGATAGAGCGAAATATAAATATATACATATAATATTTATAATATATAATATAATGCTATATAATACTAATAATAATATGGGTTGTTGTAGGTTTTTCCGGGCTATATGGCCATGTTCTGGAGGCAATTTTATAATAATAATAATATTATATTATATTTATAATATTATATTTATAATAATATGATATTATAATTATATATTTATGTTACATGTAATATTACTAATAATATTATAATAGTATAGTACAATATAGTAATATTTAATATTGATATTGTACTAAGGACTACATTATAACTTACCCGTATTTCATCGCATAATAGTCGCACTTTTGATCCTCTTTTAAAATTAATATAATATTTATTTACTGTATTTGTATGCTGCCTTTCTCAGCCAATTGGCGACTCATAACAATATAACAATATATTGTATATATATCTAATATTTATAATACCACAATGTAATACAATACTAATTTCATCGCATAATAGTTGCAGTTTTGATCCCCTTTTTAAATTAATATAATGTAATACAATACTACTAATAATATATTATAATTATATATTTATATTACATGTAATATTACTAATAATATTACAATATAATGGTATAGTACAATGTAGTAATATTTAATACTGATATTGTACTCAGCACTACGTTATAACTTACCTGTATTTCATGGCATAATAGTCGCGCTTTTGATCCCCTTTTTAAATTAATATAATGTAATGTAATGTAATATAATATATGACAATATATTGTATATGCATCTAATATTTATAATATTATAATGTAATACAATACTACTAATAGTATGCTCTCCAGCAAAGGATCACCGCCTTGTCGGGGCGCTGGAGCTTGAGCACCTCAATGATGTCATGAGCGAAACCGTGAAGGGACACCCAAGAGGGAAGGTTGTGGCAGAGAGGTCAGACCAAGCGTGATCCCTGGGGAAGGCAATGGCAAACCACTCCAGTATCCTTGCCAAGAAAACTAAATGGACCAGTACAACCAGAGATATGTTGGTATGCAATTGGAAGATGGAACTACCAGGTCGGAAGATGGCCAAAATGCTACTGCGGAGGAGCAGAGGATAAGTTCAACTAGCCCCAGGAGATGACGGGATCCCAGCTGAACTGTTTAAAATCTTAAAAGATGATGCTGTCAAGGTGATGCATGCCATTTGCCAGCAAATATGGAAAACACAAGAATGGCCATCAGACTGGAAAAAATCAACTTATATCCCCATACCAAAAAAGGGAAATGCGAAAGACTGCTCCAACTTCCGTACAGTGGCCCTTATTTCTCATGCCAGTAAGGTAATGCTCAAGATCCTGCAAGGAAGACTCCAGCAATACACGGAGCGAGAGTTGCCAGACGTTCAAGCTGGGTTTAGAAAAGGCAGAGGAACGAGAGACCAGATTGCCAATATCCGCTGGATAATGGAGAAAGGCAGGGAGTTTCAGAAAAACATCTACTTCTGCTTCATTGACTATTCTAAAGCCTTTGACTGTGTGGATCATAATAAATTGTGGCAAGTTCTTAGTGGGATGGGCATCCCAAGCCCCCTTCCCTCTCTCCTGAGGAATCTGTACAAGGACCAAGGAGCAACAGTCAGAACTGACCACGGAACAACAGACTGGTTCAAGATTGGGAAAGGCGTACGGCAAGGCTGCATCCTCTCACCCAACCTTTTTAACTTGTATGCAGAACACATCATGCGATGTGCGGGGCTTGACAAATGCAAGGCTGGGGTAAAATTGCTGGGAGAAACATTAACAACCTCAGATATGCAGATGACACCACTCTGATGGCCGAAAGCGAGGAGGAGCTGAGGAGCCTTCTAATCAAGGTGAAAGAAGAAAGCGCAAAAGCCGGGTTGCAGCTAAATGTCAAAAAAACCAAGATTATGGCAACAAGAATGATTGACAACTGGAAAATAGAGGGAGAAACCGTGGAGGCCGTGACAGACTTTGTATTTCTAGGTGCAAAGATTACTGCAGATGCAGACTGTGGCCAGGAAATCAGAAGACGCTTACTTCTTGGGAGGAGAGCAATGTCCAGTCTCGATAAAATAGTAAAGAGTAGAGACATCAGACTGGCAACAAAGATCCGCCTAGTCAAAGCCATGGGATTCCCTGTAGTAACCTACGGATGTGAGAGCTGGACCTTAGGGAAGGCTGAGCGAAGGAAGATCGATGCTTTTGAGCTGTGGTGTTGGAGGAAAGTTCTGAGAGTGCCTTGGACTGCGAGAAGATCCAACCAGTCCATCCTCCAGGAAATAAAGCCCGACTGCTCATTGGAGGGAAAGATACTAGAGACAAAGCTGAAGTACTTTGGCCACATCATGAGGAGACAGCAAAGCCTAGAGAAGACAATGATGCTGGGGAAAGTGGAAGGCAAAAGGAAGAGGGGCCGACCAAGGGCAAGATGGATGGATGGCATCCTTGAAGTGACTGGACTGACCTTGAGGGCGCTGGGGGTGGTAACGGCCGACAGGGAGCTCTGGCGTGGGCTGGTCCATGAGGTCACGAAGAGTCGGAGACGACTGAACGAATGAACAACAACAATAGTATGCTATTATAATTAAATATTTTATATTACATGTAATATTACTAATAATATTTCAATATAATGGTATAGTACAGTGTAGTAATATTTAATACTGATATTGTACTCAGCACTACGTTATAACTTACCCGTATTTCATCACATAATAGTCGCACTTTTGATCCTCTTTTTAAATTAATATAATGTAATATAATATATGACAATATATTTATATACATCTAATATTTGTAATATAATGTAATACAATACTACTAATAATATATCATAATTATATATTTTATATTACATGTAATATTACTAATAATATTTCAATATAATGGTATAGTACAATATAGTAATATTTAATACTGATATTGTACTCAGCACTATGTTATAACTTAACCATATTTCATCACATAATAGTCGCACATTTGATCCTCTTTTTAAATTAATATAATGTAATATAATATATGCCAATATATTGTATATACATCTAATATTTGTAATATAATGTAATACAATACTACTAGTAATATATTATAATTTATATATTTTATTACATGTAATATTACTAATAATATTTCAAAATAATGGTATAGTACAATATAGTAATATTTAATATTGATATTGTTCTAAGCACTACGTTATAACTTAGCCGTACTTCATCGCATAATAATCGCACTTTTGATCCCCTTTTTAAATTAATATAATGTAACATAATATATGACAATATATTGTATATACATCTAATATTTATAATATAATGTAATACAATACTACTAATAATATATTATAATTATATATTTTATATTACATGTAACATTACATTATAATGGTATAGTACAATATAGTAATATTTAATACTGATATTGTACTAAGCACTACGGTATAACTTACCTGTATTTCATCGCATAATAGTCGCACTTTTGATCCTCTTTTTAAATTAATATAATGTAATATAATATGTGACAATATATTGTATATACATCTAATATTTATAATATTATAATATAATACAATACAACTAATAATATAATATTATAATTATATATTTTATATTACATGTAATATTACAATATAATGGTATAGTACAATGTAGTAATATTTAATACTGATATTGTACTGATACTGCATCTAATATAGTCCGGAAAAACCTACAACAACCCATCTAATATTTATAATATTATAATGTAATACAATACTACTAATAGTATCCTATTATAATTAAATATTTTATATTACATGTAATATTATTAATAATATTACAATATAGTAGTATTGTACAATATAGTAATATTTAATACTGATATTGTACTCAGCACTACGTTATACTTATCCGTATTTCATCGCATAATAGTCGCACTTTTGATCCTCTTTTAAAATTAATATAATGTAATATAATATTTATTTATTTTCGGTATTTGTATACCGCCTTTCCCAGCCAATTGGCGACTCATAACAATATAACAATATACATCTAATATTTATAATACCATAATGTAATACAATACTAATAATATGATATTATAATTATATATTTTATATTACATGTAATATTACTAATAATATTTCAATTTAATGGTATAGTACAATATAGTAATATTTAATACTGATATTGTACTAAGCACTACGTTATAACTTATCTGTATTTCATCGCATAATAGTCACACTTTTGATCTCCTTTTTAAGTTAATATAATGTAACATAATATATGACAATATATTGTATATACATCTAATATTTATAATATTATAATGTAATACAATACTACTAATAGTATGCTATTATAATTATATATTTTATATTACATGTAATATTACTAATAATATTACAATATAATGGTATAGTACAATATAGTAATATTTAATACAATATAGTAATATTTAATACTGACTTTGTACTATTTTAATAGTATAATATATTGTACGTATGTATACCTTGTAAGCCGCTCTGAGTCCCCTTCGGGGTGAGCAGGGTGGCATAGAAATGACGTAAATAAATAAATATATTAATATTATTATTATATTGAATTTGTATGTCAGAACGGACATTTTGAAAGTGTAACTCCAAACAGATTTATATATATATATATAGATATAGATAGATAGATAGTTGAGGTTTGGGTAGCATAGGGAAGGCCTGTATTGATATTTACATCACAAGACTACCAGGGATGGTTGGGATGGGGCTGTGAATGGCATGGTGCCCCTTGTGCTTGTGGCTCTGGACCGTGTCTCAAGTGGAAGTGTCTCTGCTCTTCTCTTGCAGAGGAGCGAGCCCAGCGGCCCCGACTGCAGCTCAAGCCCCGGACGGTCGCGACGCCCCTCAACCAAGTCGCCAACCCCAACTCCGCCATCTTTGGCGGCGCCAAGCCCCGGGAGGAGGTCGTCAAAGGAGAGCAGGAATGAGCCGGAGGGGTTTTGGGCGAGCGAGCGAAGGAGGAGCGTGCCGGGGAAAGGGGGGCGCTGGGGTTGCGGGGAGGGGCCTGGGGGGGCGGGAGGAAGCGCCAGGCAAGCGGGCGCGCGTCCTCGGCTGTCCTCGGAACATTTCACCCTGCGGCCACCATTCCTACCATCCGACACCATTGTCCTCCTCGAAACAGAAAATGGGTAACACAAAACAAAACAAAAAAAGAAAGAAAATGTCAAGCAAACAAACAAACCAGAGCTTGTGAATGCATGTCAGCTGTTAACAAGTGGTTTCTTTTTTAGTACGTCCTTGGCTTTGCTGTATCTAGTGCCTGCCTTGTCTTCCCTCGTCCGTCCTCCGTGGGCTTCTCTCCCTCCGAGGAGCAGCTTCTTCTGCCTTCTCTTTCTCCACTGTTTCTTCCCTCCTTTCCGTGCCCTCCTTCCCTCCCTCTGCATGGCCGCCAAGATCCAAAACCCCAGCCGAGTGGAACAGGCCCCTTGTAGAAATAGCCTACGTGGCACAGGGCCCCAGACGAGGACACCTCCATACCGGGGGAGATCTAGAATCACTCCCTCTTTTGCCCACTCCCTTTTAAGGGGTTTCAAAGAGTCTTTGGAGACCCTCAGAATGGACCCTTGGCCCTCCCAGACCACTTCTGTGCCTCACGTTGCCCCACACCTGTCACCTTTGCTTGCCTTTCTTTTCTTCCTTTCCTTCCTCCTTCCTTCTTCTTCTCCTTCCCTTCTTTCTCCTTCCACCCTTTCCTCCTTCCTTCTCTTTTCTCTTTCCTCCTCTTCTTTCTTTCTCCTTTCTCTTTCTTTCCTCCTCCCTCTTTCTCTCTAATTTCTTCTCTCCCTCTTTTTGGTAAAAGTGCTATCCCTCCCGCCAGACCCCTTCATTTCCTTCCCTCTCTTCCCCTCTCTTTCTTTTCTTTCTTTCTCTTTCCTTCTCCTTTCTTCTTTTCTTTCTTTCTTTTCCTCCTTCTCTTTTTTCTTCCCTCCTTTTTCTTTCTTTCTCCCCTTTCCTTTCTTTCTTCCTTTCCCTCCCTCCTTTTTTTCTTTCCCTTTTTTCCCTCCTTCCTTCTTTCTTTCTTCCTCTCTCCCTCCTTTTTTGTCTTCCTTCCTTTCCTCCCTCGTTTCTTTCTCTTCCCTTTCTCCTTTCCTTTCTTTCTTTCTTTCTTTCTTCCCTCCCTCCTTTCTTTCTCTTCCCTTTCTCCTTTCCTTCTTTCTTTCTTCTCTCCCTCCTTTCTTTTTCTTTCTTTCTTTCCTCCCTCCTTTCTTTTTTTCTCTTTCCTCCCTCCTTCTTTCCTTCTTTCCCTCCCTTCCTCTCTCTTTCTTTCAAGGGACACATCTTCCGTTCCGTTTTCTATCTGTCAGTTGGGCCTCTCTTTGGAAGGAGGCGACGCCGAGATGTCCGGCTCCCGTTAAGACCGTTTCAGGATGGAAATGGGTTCTTTCCTCTTTTTTTTTTCCTGGTCTAGAAAGGGAAAAAATCCCGAACAATTCCACAAAGAAAAAAAAAACAATCAGCGGAGTTGGACATTTGGCAATTTAAGAGATTATCACCTTTCGTTGTTGAAAGAGTTGGTGACCCCGCCGGAATTCCTCTGGCCGCCTCCTGAAGGAACCTGGGTGTTGCATTAGCTGTTGCTTAAAGGCCGCTCTCTAAACTACACATCCCAGGATTGTACTGGAAGCAGGCATGGGGTTTAAAATGGGATCGTAACTCTTTTCACCGCGAAGTGTGATCAACTCTCGGAGATTTTTCCCCCCTTGTAAAATAGCAGGCAAATCATCCTTTTCGCTCTCTCCCAAATTGAATTGGTTCCAAGTCCAAAGCTGATAGGCTGACGGACAGAAGAGTTTGACCCCCCCCCCCCCGAAGTGTCTCTCCGCTTCTCCTCCTCCTCCTTCCCTTTGTCTTTTATTATGTCCAAGAGCCATTTGTCTGACGCTGCTTTCCGTTCTGAGACATGCCTTGTGTGTCTGTGTGGTTGTGTCCCGACACGCAATCCCACCCGAGACCCTCTCTTCTGTTTTAAAATATATATATAAGGAGAGTCGAGAATTTTAAGAAGCGCAAACGACAAAAGCCAGGCTTTTCCCCATGCGAGACTCACTTAATGGTCCTTTGGTTGGTTAGGTTCTCTTTTTTTTCCTCTCCTCAACGTGTAAGACTTCCAAACACTGAACACACCATTCTGCTTTCATGACAAAAAAAAAGTCAACAACAAAAAAAATTTATGGATATGGTATTTTGTGAATGATCTTTTAAATAAAGAAAACATTAAGTAAGGCCGAAGGCTGGTCCTTGGTTGGAATCTCTTTGTGGGTTGTCTGCCCCTTGCGAAACGTCGAGACGGAGATCTCGCTCGGAGTATTTCTAGTGTTGTTTCAAACTAGAAACAATCAGGGCCAGCTAGTCACCTCCCAACAAAGGATTCTTCCAGGCAGTAAGAAGCCACACCTTGAAAACTGCTAGGCCATTCAATGCTAATCAAGGTGGCCAATGGAAACATTCACACCTACCTCCAACAGACAATCAGGGACAGCTAATCACCTCTCAACAAAGGACTCCCCCATGCAGTAAGGAGCCAAAAAAGGATTCCCCCAGGCAGTAAGAAGCCAGACCTTGAAAACTGCTAGGCCATTAATAATGCTACTGTGAAGTTGGTTAGGAATTTGTTGATGGTCCAAATTATTATTATTATTCAGTTCTTGTAAGTTTTTTTGGGCTATATGGCCATGTTCTAGAGGCATTTCTCCTAACGTTTCGCCTGCATCTATGGCAAGCATCCTCAGAGGTAGTGAGGTCTGTTGGAATTAGGAAAAGGGGTTTATATATCTGTGGAATGACCATGGTGAGACAAAGGGCTTTTGTAAGTTGGGCTAGGTGTGAATCTATTATTATTATTATTATTATTATTATTATTATTATTATTATGGGTTTTTGTGTGTTTTCAGAAGCATTCTCTCCTGACGATTCACCCACATCTATGGCAGGTATCCTCAGAGGTTGGGAGATCTGTTGGAAACTAGGAAAATGGGGTTTGTACATCTGAGGAATGTCCAGGGTGGGAGAAAGAACTCTTGTCTGTTGGAGGGAGGTGTGAATGCTGCCATTGGCCACCTTGATTAGCATTTAATGGCCTAGCAGTTTCAAGGCCTGGCTTCTTACTGCATGGGCGGCCAACTGAAACATTCACATCTACTCAAGCTAAGTAAGAGAGGTTTATATATCTATAGACTGTTTATATATCTGGAATGGTGTCCAGGGTGGGAGAAAGAACTCTTGTCTGTTGGAGGGAGGTGTGAATGTTACCATTGGCCACCTTGATTAGCATTCAATGGCCTAGCAGTTTCAAGGTCTGGCTTCTTACTGCCTGGGGGCATCCTTTGTTGAGGGGTGATTACCTGTCCCTGATTGTTTCTTGTTTGGGATTTATGTATCTGTAGACTGTCCAGGGTGGGAGAAAGAACTCTTGTATGTTGGAGGGAGGTGTGAATGTTACCATTGGCCACCTTGATTAGCATTTAATGGCCTGGCAGTTTCAAGGCCTGGCTTCTTACTGCTTGGGTGGCCAACTGAAACATTCACATCTACTCAGACTAAATAAGGGAGGTTTATATATCTGGAATGATGTCCAGGGTGGGAGAAAGAACTCTTGTCTGTTGGAGGCAAGTGTGAATGTTTCAATTGACCACCTTGATTAGCATTGAGTGGCAGCTTCAGAGCCTGGCTGGTTGCTGCCTGAGGGGACCCTTTGTTGGGAGGTATCAGCTTGCTGGGGAACTCCAGGATAGGAAACAATCAGGGACAGCTAATCACCTCTCAACAAAGGATTCCTCCAGGCAGTAAGAAGCAACTCCTTGAAAACTGCTCGACTATCAAATGCTAATTGAAGTGGCCAGCCTACCTCCAACAGAGAAGATGCCGGTGAAACATCAGGAGAGAATGCCTCTGGAACATGGCCATAGAGCCCGAAAGACTGACAGCAATCCAATGATTCCGGCCATTAAAGCCTTCCATGATGCAATCGGTTGACAGTCCAAACTCAAAGGGTGCTTCTGTCCAAATTACTACTATTACTACAATTATTATTAACTAGCTTGTGTGTCTTAAGGAGATCTCTATGTGCTGTATTTCGTCCGCTGCTGCGAAATAGTCATGCCCCTCATTTCTTGAGTGGCAAAATTGGTATTTTTGTGTTCCTCACATAATAGTCGCAGAGCCTTTTTGTGGCTGATTCTCCTTCTTTCCCTGAAGGCAAGGCAGTTTAAAAGCTACTATCTTGGGTGCCCGGTGTTGCCCGGCTTATTTGAAAAAGTAAATTGTTTAATTGTACAAAATGCATAAGGTTGTGGGTGAACTACAACTCCCATCATGCCAGGTTAATCCTGAAAATCTCCATCAGTAATTAATGTTTGTGATGTTGGGCAAATTTGCTCTAGATGCATCCTTGGTGGGGTTCAGTGTGCTCTCTGGCTGTAGGGTGAACTACAACTCCCACTACGGTGAGTCAGTCTCCTCAAATCCCTCTAGTAGGTTGAGTGAACTACAACTCCTCTTGAAACTCTCATCACTACTCAAAGTTTGGTATGTTGGGCAAGTTGGCTGTAGATGCATCATTGGTGAGGTTCAGTGTGCTGTCTGGCTGCAGGTAAACTACAACTCCCACTATAGTGAGTCAGTTCCCTCAAACTCCTCCAGTAGGTTGAGTTAGTCATGGAGCTTATGTGTGCCATGTTTGCTCCAGATCCATCATCAGTGGAGGTCACCGTTTCTCTGGTTGTGGGAGAACTACATCTCCCAGGAAGGAAGGTCTGTTCCCCACAAACCCCTGCAGTAATATAATTTCAGCATTATCAGGTCTATGTGCCAAGTTTGGTCCAGATTCGTCGGTGTTTGGGTTTACAGTGCTCTCTGGATGTAGGTGAACTACAACTCCCCCCAAATCAAGGTGAATTTCCCCCCAAAGTATTTCTTTTTCCTGGTTGTGGGGATTCTGTATACCAAGCTTGATCCAATTTCATCTTTGGTGGAGTTCAGAGTGCTTATTGATTGCAGATGAACTA